AAAATTTTTAGAGGAAGGAAAAAAGAGAAATCTTGGTAACTGCGAGCTACTAAAGTACCAACACAATTATAATGATGATGAATTATTTAGTGTCTCAATGCACCAACTGGTCTTTAAATATAAAACGGAATGTTGTGACTTATTTTTAGGTAAAGTCAATTTGACAGTAGACCTTATTAATAAAATTGAAGCTGAAACCAGGGACCAGTTCAAAAATAACCTCTGGTACGAACTCAGGTATGGCAGAGTAACAGCTTCTAAAGCTTATGAAGTGAGTCGGTGCCAGACCAATGATGGGACTCTGATTTCTATTATCATGGGGGGTAAGATACCAGATACAGCAGCCATGAAACGGGGTAGATATTTAGAAAATGAGGTAAGAGAAATTGTTAGCAAGAAACTAGGGAAAAATATCAAGAATTGTGGTCTCTTCATTTCTCAAAAATACCCAATGCTAGCAGGTTCTCCTGATGGGTTATGTCAAGATAGCATTGTGGAGATAAAATGCCCTATAAGCAATAAAACTTATGTAAATTATGTAAAAAATGGAAAACCCAGCAAGAAATGCTTTGCCCAAATACAAATGCAAATGTACCTAAGTGGACTAAAAAAATGTTACTTTTGTGTTGCAGATCCCAATTTTTCCATTAATAAAAATGTAGAAATTATATGCATAAACTTAGATGATGAATATTTATCAAGTTTACTTGAAAGTATTATACAATTTTGGAAATCCCATGTATATCCATTGTTATATAAAAGTGTAGAATAGGAAATAAAAATGCAGAAATTTAATCATTGTTTTATTTAATAAGAGAATCTTGTATATTAATTAAACCACAGGCTATAGTTATTACATCATCAAGAACTTTAACCAAACTTAAGTTAAGACATGCATGTGGTTTTAACATGTTGAATTCACGTAATCGACGTATTACCCGCTCAACATGAATACGTAAGCTAGCTATTTGTTTAGTTTCTTTGGCTTCAGCTTTTGTTAACTTGGCTCCAGATACAACACTTGGAGGCCGTACTAATAGCACACCCATTTTACGTAAATACACTTCCACATGTTTAAATCCTCTGTCTGCCATAACGCACATATTAGGTTGCAAACATTTAGAGAAATCTGAAGTTTCCACAATGCATGTGTCTGTTATTCGGCCTCCATAACCATATGAAATATAGTTGATTAAACCATTAGGGGTACAAGATATGAGGTACTTAATTGTGTTGGCTTTCTTGTAATCAGACCAGGAAAGAGCTTGATTTATGGCCTTCGAAGGCTTTTGTACTTCAATTTCTAAACAATCTATTATACAACTCACCTTATGATATTTATGCCTAAAAGCCATAGGTAACATCTTTTTTATCAACTCCTTATCTAGTGATACAATAAAAGGACGCATTACACTTGCTATAAGAGGTATATTTTTAAAGAAAATTTTGCTTGGATAAGATCTATCAATGCCGAAGTCATCAGCAAGTTCACGGAATGAATTGTTTAACCTAATTTTTTTTAGACAGAGTAAAATATGGTTAAACGGTATGCCTGTCTGCTCTTGAATAAAGTTAACTAAATAATAACAATTTAAAGGAATGCCAATATAAGAACGGGGGCTCTTTTTAATTTTCTTCAAAGTGCACTCAAGAGCATTTAAATCTTCTAACCTTTTGTCATCCTCTAGCATCTCGCTACAGTCAGATGTAAACTCCATTTGAAGAGATTTTATGGATGATGATGGCTCATCAGAGGGAGTGTAAGAAGTATCACTTTCTGATTGTTCTATTTGTTTGACTATTTTACTCAAAACATTTATACTTGGTCTTGATGGGTTACTATTAACATCATGCTTGATTTTAAATGGTGATGTAGAAACAGATTGTAGATACGGCTTCAATGGTGATGTCATCTGATTTACCAAATTAACTTTTGTTTGGTTAGCTTTACTTCTAAATGTTTTACATATGTGTACTTGAATTGCTTTATGCAACATTCTTGGTGGTAATTGGGGAACTTCTTCAACAATCTGCTGAACTGTAAAACAAATGTTTTGTTATTTAAGTGCAATGTTATTATTATGAACACAAATAGAAAATTACAAGGTTACAAAAAAATCTATGTAGTTTTATAGCCAGTATCACAGAATGAATCTCAAACATAGATAATTTCTTGAGATTTATACAAAGGGATGCTGCTTGTTTAAGTATTAAAAACCTCTTTATTACTGAACTAGAAGAAAAAACAATAGCAGCTGTATGTCAGAAAATATGTATGTCTTTTTGATCTTAATTCATGGAGAGGTAAAAATTATATTTTATTTATGTTGTTTTGCGATGAGTCTTAAGTGCAGTTAAATACCCATAGTCTATACTAAAACACCGCTATATAAGATAATCTGTAATATGGGCCTAAGTACACCAACAATGTATGCAATAATATTGAACTAACATTATAATAAATAAGTTAGTAAACTATACCTGAACTACAAGATGCAATTTCTTTTGAACTTGATGGCTCTTCAACTATAGTACTTTCTTCAAATTGCTTTTCACACTCTTCAAGAATCATCATCCTTCGTTTTTTAGCTATATAGGGTCGCTCCGTTGTGTTGGATGTGTGTGTTTTCCTGCCTGGTTGGCAAGTAAATTTTGTGGGCATACATCCTGGTTTCATACGTACTTGCGATACCGACCCCATCACATGGTATTCCATAAAATTTTCCATGTCATTTGGCAACTGAAAAATGCAAAGTTAACAATTAAAATTGATAATAAGAATGATAACCAAGGCTAACACAAACATAACCTCAATAAATGACTAGTTATTCCATAACCTCTACTTTCAACTATTTCACGTCAAACAAACAATATAATAAGTTAAAAATCTATCAATAAATGATAACATACTCACATCAAAGTGATCTTCACAGACATAAAGTGGCGAATTTGTCTTTACATCGTTCGGGTTTCGCCGTGCAAGCTTTAACCATTTATCTCTTATTATTTTCTTGTATGGGACATGTACAAACACCTTGTTGGGTGTCGTTATTGATGTATTTTTGCACTGAGGCACTGCACACCACTTATAAACTTTTGAATTCATTTTTAACACAAAAAATACGCAATGTTTGTTTACTTTGCTGTCTAAAATTTGACGTTTACGTAAGTATGACGTCACACACGACGCCATGACACGGCGACCTGTTTTCGCGCAATATTTAAAAATGATTATAAAAATGGCTTTAAACTTCCAAAATCTTTAGTTTATTACCGAAATAAAGGTTTTGTTGTAAACAGTAAATGGTTATCTGCATTACGGAAGAGGATTTCAAAATCTTTCGCCTTGCCTATTGTACTGCTCGTATCATAAGTAAGCCATTCCTCTAGCTAACATCATCCCGCGCAACGCCCGCAAGCGTTCGCCAGTACAATCGCCAATCAATGTTACGAAGGTACTGCTCTTAATATAGGTAAGTCCCTTTTTTGACCTACCAATCGACACGTGAAATCATAAAGTAATTAATTGACTCGGGGAAGATACTTAGCTCTCATATCCAGAATCTCGCTAGCAGCACACCTTTCAGCCGGAGTTGAACAGGAAAAGAAAACTTTTCTGACAGGCAAAAAACCGCGGAGCTACGGACCACAGATCAAGTATTAAACTCGGTTCACCACAGATTACAGGATTTTGTTGCCATATCCAATATTTACATTTCGCGACTTGGTCACGTTTGCCCGTCGCGACATTATGCTCTGTAATAGGCTAGTTGACCCTTTTTGGAAAAAGGTTTTAAATAGTTAATAAATGTTCTATTAGACAGAAAAAAAAAGTATTGTATTTTTTTGAGACCTAAAAAGCTACAAATCTTTAATTTTATAATAGATTTTTCGTGGACATACAAAAACGCTATCGGCCATTTTAGTCTATAGATTATCTATGCTATGACGTTAACTGCAGTAAACACATAACATAAAGGTAAATAAACAAAAACTCGTAAGCACGTAGAAAATAACTTAACTGACTTTATAATAATCAAAAGATGATTTCTAATAAATACCCCGAAAAATAAAAAAAATATCATTATTGTATTGTACGAGAATATAAAAACACATCCTTGAAGACTCCAGGAAAGTTGTGGATTAAAAGTGCCGAAAGAAATTAACCTACGCCACTTTATTACACTTATTCATATGTTGTATCAGTTTTATGTTTATTACTACATTGGTGTCGATTCTGGAATGATTCTCTAAAGCTAAACTTAAATTTGACATTAGTGAATCCCTGTCATTCTCTATACGGAATGAGAAGGACAGGCTATAGTTAAATTTAGTTTTAAGTTTAGAGAATCCTGTCAGAATCGACACCATTGTAATACTAAATACACTGTACTTACATAGATGCCTTGTCGTTTCTCTGCTCCGCAGAGCAGAAATCGGGGTTTAGTGCAATAAATTCACCAACTATGACTAATATTTTTTTTTTTTAAATTAAATTTCTACAGCAATCTTCGGGTGCGGCCAGAGTGCACTCAGATTCAGAGTCAGATTCAGATTCTGAAAACAAGCGCGAGAAATAAACAGTGTAGTCGAAGGGTACGGCCAGATTGCACTCCTGATTCAGATTCAGATTCAGACTCAGAAAACAAAGCGCGAGAAAAAGCAAGCAACCTGCTTAGACTACACTGTTTATTTCTCGCGCTTGTTTTCGAAATCTGAATCTGAGTCTGAATCTGAGTGCACTCTGGCCGCACCCTTCTGGTTTTATGAAGTGAAATCGATATATTTAGGTTCCTTAGATCAAATACTTTAAGAAATAAACATTTATTTAATACAATTCGACATGAGTCAACTAGCCTATTGGAAAGCATACCTTATATTTACTTAATTGTAAAGGACCATAAAAAAAAATTATCACTTTTATAAATAATAACAGGCTGTATGGGCATTGTTTCCCTTGCCTTCCTCGAAATGAAAGAACTTACAAAAAATTATAAAAAAAAAATTAAATAGGAATAGGAAAGGAAATTTAGTTTATAAATATTTATAGTTAATAATAATTTAATTCCTAGTGCTAGCACTGTTTAACCGCTACAAAGTGTGAATCCTTCCCTTAAAATTTTTTAGACGATGTAATTGAAAAGAAATTTGTACATTATATTCCGAAGTTATAATTTTTGGCAACCATGGTTCCTGTTGCTATCGAAGGTTGTAACCAAGGGGCCGAGGGTGGAGGAGCTCGAGGTGGCTCCATTTCCCTTGCCTTGCTGATAGACTTCATAGTGCAAAGAACTTATGATGAACTTACAGTATTGGCAGAATTGTAAGTATTCCATCCTGGAGAATCCCAGGACAGAACTCTTCTTTGGACTCTTTTTAGAAATTTACTATAATGGTATTTTATGTGGTTACTTGCAGGTTACCGCGTAAGACAGATATGGAACGAAAAATTGAAATATATAAATTTAGTGCTCGCACTCGTCAGTTGTTTGTTCGCTTGTTGGCCCTCGTGAAATGGGCCAGCAGTGCTACAAAGGTAGATCGTTCAGCACATATTATGGCCTTCTTGGACAAGCAGGCATTGCTTTTTGTAGAAACAGCAGATGTATTAGCAAGAGTAGCTAGAGAAACCCTTGTCCATGCCCGGTAAGAGCCTTTCTAAATAATATATCATCTAATACTTTATATCTCATAAACTAATTAATAATGTTGGCCTTGATTTAGTCCAGTATTTGATTCTAGCAATACTGATGGAAATTTTATTACTAGATTGTAAATAATACTTGTATGTGAAACTAGTAGATAATTTTATTCAATTAAATATATATACTTATTTCTTCACATAAGTACACTAACTTCCACTTTACCCAATATTATTATGCTTTTACAAAACCATGAATGTAAAGATTGTGCTTGCATTAGAATAACCTGTGTCCTATTTGTAATTTGTATGCCGTCTCCAGGACACAAGGATCTACATATTTAACTATTTATCAATGCATTTATATTTTATAACATTTGATGACAGATCCATTTTAATTATTTTATTGTTACATTATGTGTTTGTTGTGTATGGAAAGTCTGTGCTAGAGTACATGACGAACCTTTGATTGATTAAATTATTAAAAAAATCTCCTCTTCTTATGTAGCTTGCCAACGTTCCACATGGCAGCAGCAGTGGAAGTATTGACATTGGGAACATACAGTCGCTTGCCTGCAGTGATCCGCGAACGGTTGGTGCCACCACCTACACTAACAGCTGCAGAACGTCGTACTACATTGCGTGCCCTCGCTCATGTTGTACGACAGAGACTTACCACTGCATCATTACCAAGTGATGTCCGAAATTTAAAAGTAAGCATTATCCGTTAAAGCATATTTCAAGTAATATTGATAACTAATTATGTACACTTAAATGCTTCAATTGATTTGTTTTTGTTTCCTTAGGTGGAGAATGGGAGAGCTACATTTACAGTTGGTCAAGAGTTTAGTGTATCATTGACAGTCATGGGGGATGCTCCAAACTTACCTTGGAGACTATTGGATATTGCTATTCTAATTGCTGATAGTGAAACTGGCGGTATGTACAATGTACAGTATTTTTTTTAATTGATTTCCAAATGTGATGTTCTCAAATTACTTGTAAAAAAAAAAAAAAATTGTTTTGCAAGATTGCTCTTCTAACTCAATTTTTTTAAATAATTCAGCTTCTCTGAGGAATATTGACACAATCCATTGTATCCCTACTACTGCTGATATTAATAAAATTTACATTAACATAGACCAAATTACTAAACTCCTTTTAAAACTCGACCCATCAAAGTCCGCTGGCCTGGATTCTTTACCTGCTCTCTTTTTTATTAACTGCGCGAAAACCATAGCAATTCCAATTTCTATTCTTTTTAAGAGATCTTTGGCGGAGAACACTGTGCCGGCTTTGTGGAAGCGTGCCTTTGTAACGCCAGTTCATAAGAAAGGGCCTAGGACCGACATTACTAATTATCGGCCTATTTCAAAGCTCTGTATTATATCGAAGATCTTTGAAAAAAATATTTGTGAGCAACTTTATGCGGCTTTGAAGCATTCGTTTAGTCCTACGCAGCATGGTTTTCTCAGGGGTTGGTCTGTTGTGTCAAATCTTATATTGCTTAACGAAGTCGTTACTGCAGCCATGGATAGTGGCCATCAGGTAGATGTTATTTATACGGACTACAGTAAGGCTTTTGATCGGATTCAACATGATTTACTTTTGAATAAGTTAAAAATGATTGGCGTTGGTGGCGACCTTCTAAGGTGGTTATCATCTTATATAGATAATCGCTCACAGGCGGTCGTTATTAAAAATTATAAATCTGGATGGCTTTCGGTGCCTAGTGGAGTCCCACAAGGATCCTTGCTTGGTCCGCTTTTATTTGCGGTGTATTTAAGCGACGTTGAGCAGTGTTTCCGGGCATCAAAGCTGCTATGTTTCGCTGATGACATGAAAATATTAGCAGTTACAAGAAGATCTATTGCGGCTTGATAGGTACTGTTCTAGCAATCATTTAGATATTAATCCTTCTAAATGTAGTGTTGTTACATATAGTCGGAAGCGAAATATGGTATTGTTTGACTACAAATTAAAACAATCCCAATTAAAACGTGAAATAGCTGTGAGAGATCTTGGTGTATTTCACGATTCGAAGCTTCTCTTCGATACGCATATTAATAAGGTGATCGCGAAAAGCTCTAGGGCCCTCGGGTTTATTATGCGCAACTCCAAAGACATTAATCAGGCCAAGACACTCAAAATTTTATATTGTACTTTTGTTAGAAGTCATCTAGAGTATGCATCTCAGGTCTGGAACCCTAGATATTCCACCTATATATCTCGCATTGAAGGCATCCAGAGGAAATTTGTACGATATCTGTGCTTTCGTACAAAGGAACGTTATCACTCAGGTCAGTACGGGGAGCTCTGCAAAAAGCATCATCTTCTCCCCTTAGAGATGCGTCGCGAAATCGCGGATTTAGTTTTCCTCAGTAGGATCGCTTCTGGGGCTGTTGACTGCCCGGAACTCCTATCAAAGATCTTGTTTAGAGTTCCCCCCAAACCCCTTAGGAATAATCCTATTTTAAGTATCCCCCCTACTTCTACAAATTATCAGCAGAACGCTTTTCTTTGTCGAGCATGTAGTAGCTTCAACTCACTATCAAAACAGGTAAATTTAGATCTTTTTAACACTAGCGAGGCGTCGATTAGACGTATCATTGCTCGTTTGTTTTTTGGAGATTATAATTAATATAATAATAATAATGAACAGTTATTCCAAACTTTAATTCCATAGACAAGTGTATGTACTTAACATGTGCGTAATTTGTTATTCTGTTATTTATCATAAGTACCTCATTTATAAAACTATATTTAAGAGATTTTTTACATTGGACAGTGCAAATAGTTTCTTTATAACTTTAAGTTATGTCTAGATGTGAGGACCTGTAATTGGCTCCTTGTTGCTACTATTCATTTCTGGTGTATTAAGATAAGCTGTTGGTCTTCCATGTAACCAAAATAAATAAAAATAAATACATAAATAAACAAAAATATTTACAGGAATATTCTTCATTAAGGAACTGTAATGCTTTACACACATTCTGTCTTTAGATAAATATTGACATGGTACATAATAATATGTATAACAAGTTATATAATTGGGATGATGATGGGGTAAAGAAAATAAATTTTATTCAGTCCATCAGTTAGATTATCAAAAAATAATGCATAATTTTTCCTTTTTTGGAAAAAATGTCAAAGTGCATCAAGGTGTGGCATCAAGGTGTGGCTAGTGTCTTCACTTCTAAGTAAAAATTGTGATGTCAATACCAACCAAGACGTGACGTCGACATTTGAAATCAATATATCTGAATGTTTAGATTATGTGAGTAATGAAAAGTGTCCAAAACTATTTTTAATAATCTAGAAAATAGATAAAGGTAAATAAAGTTAGTCATCATCCCTATTGCAATTAATGAACCAATTTGATAATGATTTCAAAGTTATATTGACAAGAAAGTTTATTAGATCATTACAATGGTAGTCTGGAATTAATTTTTCAATCTCAAAATGATCCCTGTTCTCTTACAAACTTACTATTACTTATTTTACAATTTCTGTTGTTCAGAAGGGAAGCCTCTAGTGCACAGCTCGCAGCTTGCTTGGTTGCGTGGCGTCGCGCAGGCCCGGCTAGCGGCCGCGGGCCTAAGCGGCGCGCTCGCAGCGCTCCGATACTTCTGCCGCTCGCTGTCACTGGAGTTGCTTTACACGCAGACGTTGAGGTTGTGCCGCGATCGCTTATCGCGACATTTGCAAGTGGACAGATACACGCCAGGCCAGAAGTTGCAGGTGTCGTATTGGAGGTATGTGCTTAGCCTGTTGATACCTCAATATACGGGTATAGCGGCGCGTGCGCAGTGCTCCGATATTTCTGCCGCTCGCTGTCACTGAAGTTGCTATACGCGCAGACGTTGAGGTTGTGCCGCGATCGGTGAACGTGCCATTTGCAAGTGAACGAATATACGCCGGGCCAGAAGCTGTAGGCGTCTTATTGAAGGATTTGCTTAGTCTAAAGTTCCTTCAATATACTGATATCATTTTTCTTATGATCTTTGTGATAAATGATAAAAAAAAATATTTTATTAATTACTCCCCTCTTATCTCCGAATTGTACTTAAACTAAATATTACAGGAAAGCCTGTAAGATGCCTTTCAAGAATATTCTCAAAATCTGTCCTTTTCCTACTTTTTTTTCACTTAATTAATATATTAAGGTTAACTACTCTGATAATCGACTTATGGAATTATCTGCATGCTAGTTGAGGAGCTGGCGAACAAAAGGGTACAATTACGCATCTGGACAAACTACTTTTTTTTACAGTCCGGAGGGTTCAGGCTCGTTGAATTTGAATCTTAAATAATTTTTAATCAAAGCCGCCTAAAAAGTGTTAAAATTACTAAATTTATAAATTAAAACCATGCAAAAAGCTCACTGTAGGTATGTGAATTAGTCTTATACTGCTCCTGTAAAATTTGATTTTATGTAATTACTAGCTGACCCAGCGAACTTCGTACCGCCATAAAAAAAAAATTAAAAAAACATTGTCCAGCGGACAAAATTGTGAATCTAAACCATTCTCAGATCCCCTTGAACACACACAAAAAATTTCATCAAAATCGGTCCAGTCGTTTAAGAGAAGTTCAGTGACATACACACTCACAGAAGAATTATATATATAAAGATACCGTTCACCAGCTCCTCAGTTTAAGTCACACTTGCCCATTTTTTACCCCAAAAGAGATAAAAACTACCAAAAAAATCTATTCATTTCAGAGAGTTAGGTTGCGAGCTTGGTTACCGGCTGATAATAGGCGCGGAGGGTGAGCAACTGTCTGTTTGGCACGTGCCCGCGCTGACGGGCGGCGAGCGAGTGTCGGCCGCGTTGACGCCACATGCTCCCTCCATGGAGCGGCTGTTGGCGCACACGGTCCACGTGCGCTCTAGGCAGAGGCTCAATGACCTAAAAGTGCTGCTCAACGATCTTGGTGTGAGTGATGATCAGAAGCTCAAGTACGAATTTTTGACAGCACCGTAAAGTACCGCATCGTCAAAGTTTCAACGAAAAAAAGACGTAAGAAAAAACTAGCTTTTTCCATACAAAATTTGACGATGACGATACGTAACGTAAACGGTACGTTCAATTTGGTTATTTTCAGAATTTTTGTTTAAGGACTAGTACAGACTAGTATGCTAGTGACACGTCCGGCTTCGCATGGGAATAAATAAGTAATTGAGGTGTTGATCTTTTAAAAACCAATTTCTTTCAATACACAGCCATCGCTATATATAATCTCTATAGATTATATATAGCTAAGAAGCGATACCAAAGAAATTCAAATTCAAAATAATTTTATTTGACACATTAGGCTTAAAATAGGTACATTTTCAATTTACATGTAATTATGTAAAGGAATATCTTTAACAATAGCAAAAAAATATGTATTACGAAAAACAGAAAAAGGTAAATAATGCAAACTTGGTAGAAAGTGCCTGCCTGCGCCAAATAGGATCTAATTTCAGCATTGTGTCAGCTCATAGAGCTAACGCTGGTTTTCAACTAGACCTCGGCTTATAAAATAAATCCCTGCCCCCAATGTATGTCCAAAACACGATTCCTCACACACTCGCCACATTACCGCACTATACTTGTGTGTAAGAAGTTCTATTTAGCAATATGTTGTTTGTATGACGCGTAGGTGGAGTGCTCTGTAGGTGGGTGGCCGTGCGTGCTAGCGTGCTCAGTAGTGGCGCCGTGCTTGCGCGCGGAGCAGCTGCTAGTATGCGTGGGCGCTCACGGGGGCAGACTGCGAGCGCGGGTTCCTGCCTACCCCACCTCCCCGCGCATGCCCGACCTGGCGCGTGCGCTCGCCTCCGCCGACCTGCCGCTCATACGCGCGCTGCTCACACAACTCAGGTACCAGCCCGCACATGACACACACACACACACGCACGCACGCACGCACACACACTCACACTCACACACACACACAAATACATACCTACCCCGCCTTCCCGCGCATGCTCGTACCAGCCCGCACATACACACACACATACATACCTACCCCGCCTTTCCGCGCATGCTCGTACCAGCCCGCACACACACACACACACACACATAGTGCCTGCCTACCCTGCTTCTCCACGCATGCCCGAACTGGCGCGCGCGCTAGCCGCCGCCGACAATTCAGCTACCCTACAGCTACACATTACACATCAGTGAAGTGGGATTTTACTGGAAATAAAAAGATGTGTTTTAAATATTAATAGATAGATACTTTCCACTCACTCGAATGGCACTGCTTCGCATCGTTGGACTTGACTGGTTTCCCTAACTACTACCTATTGTATTTATTTAGTTCTGACGTTCGTTTTTTGCTGTACCGGTATGAGCTAATCGAAAGAACTAATAGACTTATATTTGATCATTTAAGATGAAACAAATTACTTTTTGTTCTTATTCGTTGTTTTTTTACTAGCGTAGCGTGCGTACATTTGCAGGTTCTGGTTAGTAGCTCGTAGATGTGAGAAAACCCTACAACACTTGCCGGCTAGCGTGTGCGAGCACTTGCCCTTCCTCCACGGGCCTGATCATCCACTAAATAAACTATCACCAGATCGACTGTACGTGACTTTACATAGGCACACTGACCACATTTTGGTAAGTTCAAATCATTTTATTGAACAAATAGAAAAGTTTCAACCTTCGATTTATGTATTTTCAACGAAGCATCAACTTGTGTATCGAATTATTATAAGTTTAACTTTTGGCGTCTTTATACGATTGTGTACTCAAAGGCATTGGCGTAGCTACAGTTCTCTGCCCACCCTAAAATTCAAGTGTTGAAAAGTAACTTTTAAAGTTAAAGTTTCTAAGAACGAATAAGAAATTGAACTGGATGTCTGCCTTCCCTAGAAACATAGCCCCTAGCTATGCCAATGCCTAAAGATCGAAAGTTTTTTTTGTGTAGGTATTGATATTATTTCTTGAAACTAAGTTTAAAACTATAATCACACTAATGTTATAAAAGCGGAAGTTTGTAAGTGTGTATGTTTTTTACTTCTTCATGTCCAAACGGCTGGACCGATTTTAATAAAATTTGGTATGGAGTTAGCTGACATCCTGGATTAACACATAGGCTACGTTTTACTGCGGGAAAATATGCCTAATAACCCGCGGGGCACAGCTAGTATTTCATAACGTAAAAAATATCGGACAAGTGCGAGTCACTGTGAGTTCCGCACAACAAATCGTGAAATCATTTGTTTGTTTTCGTCACAACTTACAAAGTACGTTATGAATCGGCATTTTCAGTATGTCAAATATTTTACTTGCTTAAATATGTTTCCATACAGCATATGGGACATATACCAAAATTTTACATCATAAAATATCAAAATTTCAGTTCTGTAGCTCATTCTGTTTACGATCTAGAGACCCGTGACATACGAACAGACAGACAACAAAATGTCAGCAATGGGGTTCCAATTGAACCTTTTGGGCACTGCAATATTTGCGTAGATTGTAGAAATTAAGGAGGTTGCCGCGGACAGCACGGTCACTACTAGCAACAACGCCAATAGCAGCAGTGCCTGCTCGGTGTCTTTGTCCTAAAATCCCTAGCTACGCCAATGAACAAAGAGCTAAAGTTTTTATTTATGTATGCATGGGTATCATTTCTTGAGATTTAGTTAAAAAACTATACAATCTTTCGTAACATAAATAAATTTTACCAAACAACATCACTAATATTTGCGCAGATTGTAGAAATGAAGGAAGTCGCCGCAGGCAGCACGGCCACTACTAGCAACAGTGCCAATAGTGGCAGTGCCTGCTCGGTGGCTCTGTCCTTCCACTTGGCCGGCGCGAGGCGCTGCACGCCCGACGAGTGCGAAGACGAAGTGAGTACATTTTACAGAATTAAGGTCGCGTGAGTGGGGTTTTGCTGAAGCTGAAGGTAGCTACAGTGCGACAAAGATCTTTATGAATGTGAGTGACAGTTCAGAGAGGGCGCCACTGTCGTAAATGGCCGAAAATGACACACAAGATAGGACGTTTACGAAGGCGGCGGCGTTAGTTCAGATTTTCGCCATATTCATAAAGATCTTGGTCGCACTGTAGCAACAGAGCCAATAGCGCCAACGCCTGCTCGGTGTCTCTGTCCTTCCACTTGACCGGCCGAGGCGATGCACGCCCGTCGAGCGCAAAGACGAAGTTAGAACATTTTGCAGAATGAAACTCGCGTCAGTGGGTTTTTTTTATTATTTAGCTCCTGCATTGCACAGTTCCTGTGCTGGGTGGTGCCCCTTTTACTCTGGGGCACCGCACATCAAGGGGCGGAAACAGACAATCACCTTGCGGATGCGCGGCCAGTATATCAGGTGCCGCAACATCGCTCGCGCTCATGACGCGCATTACGGGGACAGCGGTCTTCAGAATGTGGGCCGGGTGGTACAGGAGTATTATCTGGTTTTTACTAGCTCCCTACCCACCGAGCCTCTGGGCTGGGTGAAATGAGCAGGGAGGAGTCTTCAGATACCCTGTTCGCGCTACTCCCGGTGGTTCAGGGAAGCATAACGCCTTTTCCAGATATGAAAAAGGTGGGGTTTTGCTACTGTGGAAAGGTAGAGGTAGAAGAGGCAAAAACACACTATGGGTGTGAAATCTCTACGGGGAGGGGACGCGTAGGGAACTTCTGGATAGTTTGAAGGTGCTAGAGATTGATCTCTCTCTTTACTGTATTATTAGGACGCTCATCTACCAGGGTCTATTATTTAAGAGCCCTTTTACAAAATTGCGCCTCTCTTGTTTAGGTAAATACGGCAGCGAGCGTGTCCGAGTCGCACGAGCGAGACATCGACGCGGCGATGTTCAGTATAGCGCGCTTTACCAAATTGATACTTTAATATGCAATTATTGTCTATACAATAAATGCCATTATAAAATAATAGTTATTTATTATACAAGAGTGGAAAGTTCCTTTTTAACCGCGTGCTCGATTTGGATGACCGAGCAAGCGAAGGATTCTAAAGTTGAATCACGAGCGCAGCGAGTGATTCTAAATTAGAATCCTGAGCGTCAGCGAGGGAAACAAACGAGCACAAGGTGAAAAATCTTTCCACTCGAGTGCAATACGTAACTTTTCATCCCACCTCAGCGAGGAAATGACAAAATGAAAAAGAAAACAATTTATAATGACAAAATATTTAAGCAATAAAACGTGAAAAACTAGAATGGCGCGAAGCACGCAAATAAAACAAAGAAACCAAGAAGGTTCCAAATTTAAATTTTTTCACAATTTAAAAAGTTCTAATCATAAATTTGGCACCATAGAGGTTACATTAAATAGGTTTAATGACGTTTTGAATTTACAATTATATTGAGTACTCATTATATGTGATGTTCTAAATTCAAATCTACTTTGCCGCTCAAGCGAATAAAATAGAATTTTCCAGCCAGATTTCGAAGCGCAAAATTACACTTTCCGAGGTGGTGGGATGAAAAGTTAATTTGAAGTGCTAAGATGGATCCCTGTAGCAACGAACGATTCTACATAGGAATCCTGAGTGGAGCAAAGGATACAAGGATTAAGTTTTTTTACTATTGTGAGAAAATAAATAATATATTTATAGTACCCATTGGTTGTGTTTTGGAAATGACAATAAAGATTAATTATGATTATTACTAATTACTGTAACTTTATATGTATGCTTTGCATAACTTCTGTTTGTTCAAATTTTTTTTATTCACTCTATAATTAAATGAAAAGTTTCTTCACTGTTATCGCTGAATGAAATCCCTTTTTCGAGTGGCAATGAGAAATAATATTTTATTTACTTGTGTTTTTTAGTATTGACTTTTTTAATGATGATTGATGTTTGGTAATAATCAAATATCTCAGTAAAACTGTACTAAGTGTAGTTTTGTCTTTGCCTTCATAGTTCATTTAATAAACAGATATAGGCAATACTGGAAATACATTTCCAATCCAGACACAGATATGGTACGTAAATCAGCAAGTTACTGTCAATTGAACTTATGGAGCAAAGAAGTCTAATATAAAATATTAAAAATAAACTTTTTTGCTCTAGAAATGCATCCCATTAGTTTGATTTTAAAACAATAAACCAAACTGCTAACATTGTAAACTATGTACCTAGTGTAGTAGTGAAATACCCATTAAGTCAGTTTAAAACAGATAAAATATTTACATATGAGTTTGACGCTTCCCTTTATTCCTCGGCTTCGTTTACCAATCCAACAGCATTTTTTTCCTATATAAATTAATAAATTTATTGTTATAAATTTAATTTCTTTTTTCATTGTCTACTTCCAATAACAATATGAAAAACTTACAGTTTCCGTTGCAATCGAATCCATTGAACTTATGGTCGGTATAGTTTCAGTATTTTCGGGGCTGCTATTAAAATTTTGTTTCCATGTATAGAACTGTAATTCTAAAGTAGTACTTCAATAAATAGAACTGTGAATTTCTTCTATTCTAAATATATTATTATGTTGGGCCAATATGTACTTTGGCCGCCCACGAGCTTTATACTTGTTATACTTGATCGAAATGCAACATTTTACCGTACTCTAGCTTTTTTTTACAAACATAAGGGTAGATTGTATTCTTACAAAAGTAGCTTAAGTTTAAATCGGGGAATGTAGGGTGGTCACAACTGGCCGCTTTATTGGAAAACGCGTTTATAGCTATATCTCCTAAATTATTGACTGTATGGAAAAAATGTAGTGTTTTTTTGTTTATTACTAAATTCTCTAACTTCTTTCTCTCAAACTTTTTAGTGTAACTCTTACCGTTTTTCAATTGTTGTTGTTTATTTGAACATGTTTGTAGTTTTTCCTTTATAAAACCTTAAAAATGTCATTAATTGATAAAAAACGTCGTATACAAGTTATCCGTGATTAAATTCCCTACAAGTTTTGTATACTTTTTTTATTAAATAAATACTTTTGAAGTTAATAGTCGTTAATGTGCGCAAAAACGGGCGTTGAAATGAAATTACAGAAGTATCCGAAAAATTCACTTACTTTCATACAAATTGAAGCTGATGATGATTTGTGTTGCATTCTTATCAATTAATTGTAAAAAATGTATTTAAAAAAATAAGGAAAAAATATAAATATTATAAATAATATTAGTGATGAGAATCAATTACACGTATACAAAACTCTGATATACTGCGTTATTGCTACGTTAACGACTCATAAATTTAAAAGTATTTATTTAGTAAAAAAAAGATTTATGCAAAAGTTGTAGGAAATTTAATGATGAATAACTTTCATAACATGTTTTTTTTATCAATTAATGACATTTTAAAGGCTTTAAAAATAAAGCGAAATGTTATAAGCATTTTCACCTTGCTTCACAAGCTTTCTTTATGGCTGCATCATTCTTTCGTTTTCTTTTTTGACTCAATGGTAAGCAGGAATTTTACGCCCCATTGTAAAAGCTAATAACAAAAATATTAGTGAAGCAACGATAATTAATAACTAGGGAGGTACTTATAATAATAAAAATTAATACGGTTGTGGAAACTTACATAGAGTCAACGATTAAAGTTTTGCGGTCGTAGTATATCCAGCCAGTTTTACGATGAATGCACTCGTAGTATCGCTCGGGACGCGTGCGGTACAAAGCGACATAGGTCCGACCTCCAAAGGCGCTGGCGCCGTATTGAACGGCGCCTAGATTTGCACTAGTATATATTGCATTTTACGGGTGATGTTCAGAGTCTTATAAAATAATAATTAATGAACTTATTATAAAAATATATACATATTTCAATAGTTCAATGATTGTACATTACTTTTATGAAAGTTTTTGATAGTAATTCTATTTAATTAAATATCAAAATACGAGGTAAACCTGCGTTATTTTTTGGGGAAACTCACGGAGGTTAGATGTTTTTTTAATAATTAATGAGATGGAAAATCAAGATTTTAATACATTATGTTGCAACAAAAACATATTTCTGATGTTATAGTAATTAATTTGATCTAATTTATTGAACATTATTGTGAGATTTAGGCGTTTTAAGTTGTGCATATTATCGTTTTTCCGTAAATTAGCTGCGGTAGAACGATCAGTACAAAAAAATCAAAATAGTATTTGCAAATATTCTACATTAATTTTCAATAGGAATAATAAATCTACTGTTTACTTCTATTGGAAGTAGTCAAAACCTCTTCTAAGGGGGCAAACGAGGCGCTCAAAAATTGCGATTTATTGCAAAAAATGTGAAAGGGCTCTTAAGTATTTTGTGTCAATTTTACGCGCTAACCAGCTGCACCATCGCGCCCCTCTTACAAAGTATGCGAGCGGATATTTTGATATTTCACATTCTCCCACAGAACACAGCATCGTCGGCGACTGCGCCCGCTGGGGTGGCGCGCGCTTTTTTCAAGATCCACTCATTGGTGGAACTAGACACGTTTACGCTCACACATGGACCGTTCACGCCGCTTGATACACCAGGTAAGATTTAAGACAGATATTCGCCGAAAATAAGTGCCATTTTTATGACAATATTATAAAGACAGCAATAGGTCTAGTAACTTTTGAGCTTTATAATGACTTGCTTTTAGATTAACAATTAATTAAGAAATGTTGACAGTTCAGGTACTTTCCTATTAATCATCGATATTATCTTTAAATTGTTATTAACGAAGCCTGAGCAGTAACAGTTGCACATACAAAACCTTTTACTGCGCAAGTTTGTCTATGGTTTTACTCAAGAAGTTTGCCGCTACCTATATCTGTTCATAAAGGACATTGGGCAAAAATGTATGGACGCTGCACGTCCGCCACGGCTTAAACTACATTTGTTTGAAAGGTATTAAAGTCATGATCATCTGTGCCAAAGCGCATCAAATTCCATCCCGGGGGTCTTTAGTTATTTTAAGTTAAATAGGTACAAGTACTATAACGAACGAACATTAATGAAACAAGGGAATTAATTTAGTAAGTTAGTTTGACTGTACATAGAAGATTCAAGTATTATGGGAGTACTTCACAAGGTGCAAGGGTGCCCCTCTGTGTTATTCTGCCGCGCTAAAGTAAAGCCAAAAATCCCCGCATGGGTTGGGACCTTTTCAAACAGTCTGTTCGTTATAGTAAATTGCCTTCTATGTAAAACGGAGCGATCACAAATCACACAAACTTGTACACACTTCTTGGTCGGAAAAAACATGATTCCAGTTCATCCATACTAATTGACAAAACCGATAGTCATGTTCCAATGTCCAAAGCGAAAAATCAATCATGTGACAGGGAGCGCACAATCACAACGAAGTAAGACGAGTCGACCATTTGCAACTGCAAGTCCTTCAATGTGTCATATCTTTTGACCACCAGATATTTTTTTAAGGTGTCATATCTTTTGACTCCCTGGATATTTTTTTACGGTGTCATAATAAAAAAGGCTAGTTTTTCATAGATCTATCGATTCATACTAATTACATTGTTGGCGGAGCTGGGTGTGTTTTGCCCATTGTCCTTTTGAGTTTCTAGAACGCCCCATCGTTTTAAAATCTTTTATAGATAATTTAAATTTTATTCATTTATAATTATTAGATATCCCAATTTTTACAATTGAAATGTTTATTTTGCATACAGGCATGCAGCCCGGTAAACGCAAGTTATCGGCAGCGAACATTCGCGCAGTGCGCGTCCGTCAGCCCGCATACTTCTTACCCGAGCTGGCTCATGTGGTGGCCGCGGCGGACGAACGGGTGCCGTTCGTCAATCTAGCGCAAGAGGTAAACACTTCCGATAAAACAACAAGACTCGCGTACTATATTCGTTCATATAGATTTGCACACATGTTCGCACGTCTTTGTCTTTGTACTGCGACCGGTCTGGCTGGGGTGGTAGATGCCTCCGGTTCGCAGGTATTAGAAATAATCGTTTATATTGTCAGTAAAAATTCTGTGGCCGGCGTCACGTCTCGGCAACACATTCAGAACTTTGTGTCACTTATGATAACTAATCTCTTATCTATTAGAGAAGTCCGTCCATCCGTCCGTGGTGCTGTTTCAGCGGCCAAACCGTAAGAGATAGATATAGAGAATGTTTAAGTTATAAGTTAAGAATAGTCTGATAAGACTACAAACCGGATGTGAGTAAAGTAGCACTTCCGGTTTACGAGAAATCACGTGATTTCTATTTCAAGCGAAACCACAAAATCTCCGAAGTTCTCAATTAATTAAATATATTTTTTTTGGTGAACATTTGGTTCACTGGTTTGCTAGTACTTGAATAATTCACTAGTTTCGTGGAAGAATGGAGTCCCGGCGAGACCTGTATTTTTGAGACAATTTGATTTTCTCTAGTCTCTTTAAGCTAACATTCGCGCAGTGCGCGTCCGTCAGCCTGTGCCCTTCTTGCCCGACCTGGCCCATGCACGAGCTGGGAGCAAATGGAAAATAGACCGACCAGACCTTTGGTAGTTGAAAGAATGTTCTCCCGTAAAGTCCTATATTTTTTACACAATTGGGTTTTCTTGAGAACATGTATCCAACCAGGATGATCGAGATGAATGTTTAATCGGAGTACTGTAATTGAACATCAGATCGGATCGTTTAGTTCTGTAAGATAATAAAGTGAATACTTAGTGATAAGTAAGAATTCGTAGAAATAGACGAGAAGGGGGCTCCCGCCCGACCTCAGACAAAAAATTGGTATCACTAGTTTCACGTAATATTTGAACAGTTTACTAGTTTCGTTAAGTCTTTGGTATTTGTATGAATGGTCTCCTGACAAGTCCGCCTGTTTTATTTGACACAAATGGTTTCCTTAAGTCTTTTCCTAAGTTTTATCAATGCAGCATATGATCTCATATAATGTTAAGTGTAAGTGGAATGTAGTTGTGAAGATAAATGATGCGGCAGAAACATCTCAATTTAGCCATACTTACTTCACCTGCCTGAACTAGATTCAACCTTCCTACCCAGTTGAGATTTGTCAGCTTTACTCGTTTTCTAAACAGTTGGCGAGTCGCGGCGTTACTCACGGGGGCGTTCAGCCCGAATGGAGTGGTTCAGCGCTGGGCATGCGTATAGTGTCTCTGCCGCGACCAGAGGGAGCTTCAGTGGCCGCCGCCAATGCCTTACGCGACCGCCTCCTAGCGGCTACTATACGACTCACTACCAAGAACCAGGCTCGTGTGTGGACCGCTGAGATAGTATTCCACGGATCACCGGTTCGCACTCCTAACCCGAAAGAACAAGGTTAGGACTGATATTTTAAGCTTGGTCTCTGCCGTGACAAAAGGCTGCTCCAGTGGCCGCCGCCAAAGCTCTGCGCGACCGCCTCCTCGACTCGCCACCAAGAACCAGGCTCGAATGTGGACCGCTGAGATAGTGTTCCACGGATCGCCGGTTCGCACTCCCAACCTGAAGGAGCAAGGCAAGGATTACATTTAAGCTTATTTCGGTTAGTTGGTTTTTACTGCAATCAAACAGCCATTATATGGCCGCTATCAACGCTCTACGCAACCTCCTCCTAGCGGCCACTATACGACTCAGCACCAAGAGCCAGACGCCCGTGTGGACCGCTGAGATAGTGTTCCACGGATCGCCGGTTCGCACTCTCAACTAAGAAGGAGCAAGACAAGGGCTGATATTTCATGCTTATTTCGGTTAAAGCCGCGACCAGGGGGCGCTTTTGTAGACGCCGCCAACGCACTACGTCGCCACCTCCTAGCGGCCACTACGATCTGCAAGATCTTTCAATTCACGACTTTTTTGTTTTATTCTGTATCATTCGCATTTCACAAATACTCGTTAAATTGCGAGTCGTTGAAATTCTGGAAAGGTATCATATTTTAAATACTGAAATGTAAATCTCATAATTATGTTGCACAGGTGAGAGACGCTGCGTATACTTGCAGTACGAGTTGGGAACAGATGCGGGCCGCACCGCTGAGGCGTTCCTCGCCGACTGGGCCGCAATTGTTCATCTGCACACACTGCTCTACGAGTACATGCTACGTCCGCAGCAAGGTAGGGAACGTATTCAAACCATCAGGTTATTATGTACTCCCGGTTGGTAGAAAACGGTCACTGAATCTAGAGTTGGTTTGGGGTAAACAAAAAAAAAGGAAAATAATATTTCGGCTATTCCGAGATCTCCGTTTTTGGATCTCGGTTAATTAAGTTTACATACTACAGAAAGACACATTGATTGCATGGTATACCGTGACGCTGCAAGGCATGTGCGCTTCTTGCAACGAAATGTGTATATCTTTATGTACCGTAAATATAAAGTTTAGTTTCGTTTTTGTATCGTTATCTCAAAATGATCGCATTTACTTTGCGTCTTGATGGAAATTGAACCAAAACTTAATGCTGTATGTGTCCCTCTTTAGCTTACACTAAGTTAAATCGCACTGTACATTGATAATAATCGTTTAAACTTTGCTATGGATCGCGCAACGAGTTATTAAGACAATTAGCCCTCTGATAGCGGTTACAGTGCAACAAACTGTTTAATGATTTTGGATATTTTTGACCTTTTATTGTCATCTACAATTCAATACGTAAATACGCCCGTTAAGAGATAACCATTTTTTTTAGTTTACCTAACATTCACTATTAAGTCGTTACGCTTCATTTGGAAAACAGAGCGCGACATGCTGTGGCAGGGCGTGTGCATACGCTCGTACACGTACCGCTCGCTGGTGCTCGGCTTCGGACCGTCGCAGCGCGCCACCGCCGTGCTGCAGTGGAGCGCGGCCACGCAGCGGTACACAGTGGCCACGCCCGCGCACCAACCCGCCGCCAACGCGCACCACCTGTTGCACCACCACCTGGACCACTACCTCAACTGGTGTGTATGTGTGTGTGTCCCGCCTCTCAGCGCGGCACGCTGTGGCACTGCATGTGCATACGCTCGTTCATATACCGCGCGCTGGTGCTCGGCTTCGGACCGTCGCGGCGCGCCACCGCCGTGCTGCAGTGGAGCGCGGCCACGCAGCGGTACACAGTGGCCACGCCCGCGCACCAACCCGCCGCCAACGTGCACCACCTGTTGCACCACCACCTGGACCACTACCTCAACTGGTGTGTATGTGTGTGGGTCCCGCCTCTCAGCGCGGCACGCTGTGGCACTGCATGTGCATACGCTCGTTCACATACCGCACGTTGGTGCTCGGCTTCGGACCGTCGCAGCGCGCCACCGCCGTGTTGCAGTGGAGCGCGGCCACGCAGCGGTACACAGTGGCCACGCCCCCGCGCACCAACCCGCCGCCAACGCGCACCACCACCTGGATCACTATCTCAACTGGTGTGTACGTGTGTGTGTCCAGACAGGTTGGTTAAATGCAGCAAATGGAAACTCAAGCAAAGCGTTTTGTACTAATTGTTCTACGGAAATTCTTGCTAAACTATTAGACATAAAGAAACATACTAGGACTAAAAAACTTAAGACAGAAAGTAGAGTTCATAACAGGCATGTGAATTTAAGACTAGTTTTGTTTAAAGCAGACCCTTTCGACGGGAAAAATGAGTATGATAATTTTAGTTTATAAGTTTTTTTTATAAATAAGGGTATCAAACTCATTTTTTTGCGTCTACGGTCAGTGATAATATTCCTTCTTATGATATAGTATCCTTTATACCTACTATAACATTTAGCTACTTCTAGTTTTTTGGGGTAAAAAAAACTGTCAATCTAGCTACATTTTGTAAGACGTCTAGCAACTGGGCAATGCAGTTGGCAACACTGTCAAGGAAGGATGGGGGCGCCGCTGGTGAGCTCGAAGAGCAAACTGTAAATAAAGCCATATTCAGCCTATATTCACTGTAAAGGTTACCATAGATTACACCAAGTTATAAGACTGATTCTTCACTTAATGCTATGTGTTTTAAGGGATCATATAATGACAGATGTTTTGACTATGATTTCCGAAAATCGATCTCGGCATTTGTCAATACTAATATTTGTTTGTTTTAGGCACAAGGACTTGATGTCGTTAGGCGTGGTGTTGCGAGAGACATACGGCCCACTGTTGGCCCTAAGCCGCCTGCCCGCGCTGCCTCAGCTCGGGCTCCACCACGTGCGGACGCAGATGCCCACGCCCACGTTCACACTGCTAGCCCACTCGTGGAGGAAGGTCAGTATATGATAGTTATGTGTTACATACGGCCCACTGTTGGGCTGAGCCGGCTGCCCGCGCTGCCTCAGCTCGGGCTCCAGTTCAGGATTGGGATGAATGAGCGGCCATTAAATAATTTAAACATTCATAAAGAAATTAATGGGGCAAATTGTTTTTCCCAGATACGCGTCATATACGCCGGAGCGTATTCGCTAGAAGTGGGCATTCGTGGCGGAGGAGTGGTGACTGTACGCGATGGTTCCTATTCGAAGTTCGACCGCAGTTCCGTTGTTGACGAATTCTCCCCTGCTCAAGGACTTAAAGTAAGTAATATTTCTAATTCGATTAGTTTAATACTCAATAAGCAGCCCCTTTATTCTTATTAAACTAAACATTTTGTGATATGTATATTTATTACCAGGCATTTTTATCAAGATACGTAGAAGAAAGTATTAGCTCAAGACTGTTAGCTGAAGACGACAATCCACCGTCACCGATGTCGCCAATGCCACCAGGTACATAAACTCATAAGATATTAACCGTAATAATATTTAAAAATTGTAAAATTAACTTTTTTTCTTTACTATTCAGTCCTTAGCCCGATTTTTTTATTATTAAGAGAGCTATATACATTGCGATTATCAACGTAATAGTTACACTTTTAAAGAATCAAAACCACAACCATAAAAGGTACTTGATGCTGTGACAAAAACATTCGAAAATCTTAAATGTCAATCTGAAGCTTTTTGTACTTTAGAAGACAATCTTTTTACACTGATTCCTGGCACAAAGGTCTGTGTGGAACATGAAGATATATTCAAAAGTTAAGTACAAAAGGAACTGTACTATAGAAGAATATCCCATAGTGGATAGAGATAAAAATATGTTGACCTTGAGCGCAATTTTCTGACCCACTGAAATATTGTGATATAACGAGAACAACAATAAAGAAACCACACAAACTCAAGCAAAATCGAGTTCGTGTGCACTGAAAACTTGTTTTATTATTATTATTGTATCCTAGGCAAGGCCCTGCTTGCATGTGAAATGCTCATGGATACCCTGCAGTAGGCAGCAAGGTTATGTTAGACACTTACTGCCTAAAACACACCCGGAGGGGGCGGGGGGGCTTTGGTCATGAGGACCTTATGTTACCTTATAAGGACTTCGCTGATGCAAAAGCTTCATTTTCTCAGCCATATCCCATAGGTAACAGAAATAAAAATTGTATAGGGATAAAGTAGATCACTGTTTCTATCCATTAAAATAGCTTTCGTTTGTGTCCGCTACTTTTCCATAAACGGGGCAAAATTTTCCCAATATTTTTTAACTTATAACTAAGCTTTACTGATAGAGGATTAGGGGCCATCCATAAATTGCGTCACACGTTAATAGGAGAAGGAGGGGGTTGACGAAAGTGTGACATTGTGTCTGCACAACATCGCGAGAAGAGAACCAACCACCATCTGTCACCAGTGCGGTGCGGCCAATGACTCAGCTCAGCACACTCTGGCTGAGTGCCCCGCCTGGAGTGAACAAAGAGCGGTCTTGATGAGGGCAGTTGGGGGCAATTTGTCGCTGCCGTCGGTGGTAAGGGCTATCGTTGGCGACAGGAATGCATGGGACGCCGCAAAGACATTTTGCGAGACTGTGATGGCCCAAAAGGAGACAGAGGAGCGGTCCCGAGAGGTGGACCCCTCAGCCGCCCCGATGAGACGTCGTCGAACTGGGCGCAGAAGGCGCAACTTTGCTGCCACTGTAGCCCCATAGGTGGCCCCGCGGGAGGGAAGAACTAGCCCCGCATTATAAATGGCTTCCCATCGAGTTAGGGCATACTATCCAGGCCAATCTGCCTGATGATGCCCCCAGAGAGAGACGGACAGATTCCTCAACGAGTCGAGTCCAGAACGTCCCGCGGTTCGTGCCAATGCACACAAGGGGAGTTAGTGCAAAGAGGAGGGTCCGAGAGGGCGCTTTCACGGTTGGGGTCTGGGGCAAAGGCTTGCTGATACCCTTCCCCCATCGTGTGAAGATGGAACCGCAGGAGGTGTTTTTAGTGGGTAGTCGCGGCGCGGCGTGAAGTATGCCCCGTGGAGTCCCACATACCCCCACGGCAGGGCACGGTCGTGGGAAGTGCGTAAATGCATTTTCACCTTCCCCCAAAAAAAAAAAAAGTGTGACATTGTGTGACAAGGGGTGGGTCTCAATTTCATAATCTAATACATACTTTTGAACTATTATATGTTGATCTCTATCTGCATAGGGTTTTATTTATGGAAATTATTTCGGAACGGCTGTTTAATAATAATATCTAAATACAAAAGAGCAAAAGATGTGACGTCACACTAGGGAGGGGGGGACTCACAAATGTGACCAACTGTGACAAGGACAGGGGAGTGGTAAAAAAATGACGAAATTAGTGTGACGTACTTAAAGGATGACCTCTTATGTCTGTACGAAGGTGGTCTCCGTTTCCCGGCCCCGTTGACTCCGCCTCAGCCGCACACGCCACACTCTGCCCCAGTGACGCCACATCCGGCCTCGCCAGCGCAACATCAGGTTAGTGATTCAATATTTTGCCACAAGTAATACTTTAATTTATTTGTTATGCAATAGGGAAGATGCAATATTTTTATTTTTGTTTTCATTTTAAAGAATTCCATGTAGAATAAACCACAGATATATTAAAAAATTAAAACATTGTGATTTATCGGAAAAAATGCGGTTTTAAATTGACAATTTAAAATTTCGCGCGAAAACGAACCTATGGTTGCGATGACGTCACTCCTGTCTGTCACTGGTCGTACTTGTTCGTTGCTGGCTTTAAATTTTCATACTTTTGCATATTTTTTCGACTTTCGAAATATTTTTTTTGAAAAGTTTAAAATGGACTCTCCATCAACATCATGTGATCATAACAATACCACTTATATTCCGAAAAAAAGCCGTGTTGACTCATGTTTTGTGCCAATCTACTTCAACAAAATTCCCAAATAAATTGTTTTTGACTAGAACTTCTGACCCAAAACTGAAAAAAAGTGGTTTCAAGCTGCGAAGAGAAATGGCAATTATTCTCCAAAGACCATTATTCGATGCTGAGAAGATCACTTTGACGTAAGTCGGCGAATATACTTGTTATATGCTTAATTAATCTGCTTGTACGTAAAAACGCATTAGTAACCTACCTAATATTTACAAAACCTGTGTATAACATATTTTTAATTTTACAGTTGGAGAATGACGACGAAAATTAGATAAAGTTTAAAATGTGTGGCACAATCTTCACATTGGCAGGACTGAACCAAGCTTTGCGTTTCATTTAAAATAACTGTAACACGATATCCTTCTTTACGTACTTTATGCTCCGGAGAACTCGACCTTCTACTGTACATAATTCTCCATCTCTTTTAATTTGAACATAGCCGATTGCATTATCGCCGTAAGATTTATAGAAGCCGCTGAATAAATTACGAAGTTTAACAACTGCGATTTTTACATACCGTAGTAATTTAGTCCCTTTCATTTCTACACTTAAAAACTCTGCACTTTGGACAAAAAAAGTTATAACCATGTCAACGCTAACTCTTGGTAAATTCCTGGAGTCTGCTTTGATAAACGCAACTTCCATATTTATTAAATGTAAAAAAACGCAATAAATATTCCCATAAAATAATATTTACTTTAACAACCATAACCTCAAAGAAGTTGTCATAACAGGAGTGACGTCACTAAACGCTGATTGGTGTTTTGAAATACGTTCCGTTTCAAGTATTTTTAATCCGTAATAATTGTTAAAAAACAACATTATGTAAAATAAAAACGTTGCAGTGGCATTTCTTTTATATTTTTTTAACATTTTAATCATAAAATTTTCATAAATATTATATATGCATCTTCCCTATTATTTACTTTATTTTTATTTAGTATAAGTAGTAAGTTACTAGGGTAGTGGCATTAGTAACCGACAAGAACCAATGACAGATACTTTCCTCTGTGATTAATGAAAATAAGAGAGGGTGGCTAATCACTTAGGCTCGTATTACAGAATGACAACTAAGTGTTGATCTTTACTTGAGTACAGTTAGAAAGGGATGTCGCATGTGCTATACAGAGCGACATCCCTTTCTAACTGTGCTCAAGTGACTCCAAATATGTTGTCACCGAGCGTCTATAGCTCGATGTTAACGTATTAAGTGTCGGTCACTGGCCCCTGTTGATCATTAGTACCTCTACTTTGTCTGAGACATAAGTCTTCATAGCGTGCACATCTCTTTAAAAGAACAAGCTTCGGTTTTGTGTAAAAAGTGGGATAGGGAACACTCAGTCCAATCTTTCCCGGAATATTTATACTGTTGATAGATATTGTAATGTTTCATTTTTTTAATAACAAAAAAATACACAATTCAAAACTTGAAATATACGAGTACATTCGTATGATTAGACAAGTGGGTGCCTGCGACAACATCTACGTAGAAATATTGGTTGCCCATACAAACTATGATGCCCCGTTTTACCCCTTTAGGGGATGAGTTTTGAAAAATCTTTTCTTAGCACACGTCTACTAGACCAGGGTCGATAATTTTAAAAATGGTGAAAAGTGAAAAAAAAATATAGTAGGATGAAACCCATTAGAAAAGGTAGAGAATATAACAAAAATGAAAGGAAAAATAAATTACGGGCGATCTGAGGTCGGGAAGGGGGAGGGGGTGAGTTTTTAAGGGTAAAAAATGGTTAATCTCGATTTCCGGTAAAACTGCAAGTCCTATGAAAAAAAGTTAAATGGCAAAATTGTAGGTAATAAAAAGATCTACAACTTTTGTATCGACACTTTTTTCACATAACCTCAAAATTTATGTGAAAAATGCGAATAACCGAGTTTTTGGTTTTTGATTTTTATTTTTTGCAAAAAAAATATGTTTTCACGAAACTTGGTGAAAACTTACCTTTGTATGTCCCAAACATACAGTATTTTTTTTGATATAAAATATTCATTTTTTCACCTTATTTTGACTTAATATCCAAAAAGCACCCTAATTTTCAATCGAAAATTCTCACGTCAAAATATCTGCTTTTTTAAAAAAGTTGGGGTGTTTTTGTTTGTTGAAATCTCTACTTTCTGATGGTATAAAAAAAATATACACTACTATGATAAATGTTCTCAGAAAATGCAAATTAATAATGAAAAAAACTCGAATCCGCCACTTTGCCATTTAACTTTTTTTCATAGGACTTGCAGTTTTACCGGAAATCGAGATTAACCATTTTTTAACCCTTAAAAACTCACCCCCTCCCCCTTCCCGACCTCAGATCTAATTAACTTTTCCTTTCATTTTTGTTATATTCTCTACCTTTTCTAATGGGTTTCATCCTACTATAATTTTTTTTGGTCTCAAAAATTATCGACCCTGGTCTATACGTCATAATAGCTATATATGTGCTAAATTTCAAAACTCATAACACTGAAGGGATTACCCTGTGCGTTGATAGATAAGTCAATCAGTATCGGTTGTGTTTTATATATACAGATGAGTGGTTCTTTTAACCTCACATCGCCGCCGGGCGGTGCGGGCAGTAGCGGGGCGGTATCAGCATCGCCGGCGTCTCCCTTAGCGCCGTCCCCGCTGGGGGCGCCGGCCGCGTCGCCGCACCCCCCGCCCACCTCCCCTTTCACCGCGTGGCCCGGTTCGCCCTCCCTGCCGCGCCCCTCGCCCGGCCACCACCCCTCACCGCGACACCACCTCGAACATAAAGGTAAACTTACTGGTCGCTGTGAAGATAACGCGCGGCAGGCGTATCACCCTCCCGCTCACATCCCCCTTCACCGAATGGCCCGGCTCGCCCTCCTGCCGCGCCCCTCGCTCTCCTGCCGCGCCCCTCGCCCGGCCACCACCAACTTGAACATAAAGGTAAACCTAAAATTCCGATTACAATATTCGGAACGACTCCGAGCTCCACAAAGACCAATCAGTTAGCAGCTAAAGAACTCTCGAGCGCGTGCCATTCGTTGCTCCATCTACCTCGGCCTTCGCCTGAACACTACCCCTTGCTGCGACAACAACATAAATATAAATCTAATTTAAACTTGGTGAGTTGTCTCGAATCGAAGTAGTAGTCGAAGAGTATGAGAATCTGCGCGATTCGAAGCTACGCCAGGTGCAATAGGGAAGATGCATATATAATATTTATGAAAATTTTATGATTAAAATGTTAAAAAAAAATAAAACAAATGCGACTGCAACGTTTTTATTTTACATAATGTAGTTTTTTAACAATTATTACGAATTAAAAATACTTGAAACAGAACGTATTTTAAAACACCAATCAGCGTTTAGTGACGTCACTCCTGTTATGACAACTTCTTTGAGGTTATGGTTGTGAAAGTAAATATTATTTTATGGGAATATTAATTGCGTTTTTTTACATTTAATAAAAATGGAAGTTGCGTTTATCAAAACAGACTCCAGGAATTTACCAAGAGTTAGTGTTGACATGGTTATAACTTTTTTTGTCCAAAGTGCAGAGTTTTTAAGTGTAGAAATGAAAGAGACTAAATTACTACGGTATGTAAAAATCGTAGTTGTTAAACTTCGGATTTTATTTAGCGTCCAAATTAAAAGAGATGGAGAATTATATACAGTAAAAGGTCGAGTTCTCCGGAGCATAAAGTACGTAAAGAAGGTTATCGTGTTACAGTTATTTGAAATGAAACGCAAAGCTTGGTTCAGTCCTGCCAATGTGAAGATTGTGCCACACATTTTAAAGTTTATCTAATTTTCGACGTCATTCTCCAACTGTAAAATTAAAAATATGTTATTGACAGGTTTTGTAAGTATTAGGTAGGTTACTAATGCGTTTTTACGTACAAGCAGATTAATTAAGCATATAACAAGTATTTTCGCCGACTTACGTCAAAGTGATCTTCACAGCATCGAATAATGGTCTTTGGAGAATAATTGTCATTTCTCTTTGCAGCTTGAAACCACTTTTTTCAGTTTTGGGTCAGAAGTTCCAGTCAAAATCAATTTATTTGGAAACTTTGTTGAAGTAGATTGCCACAAAACATGAGTCAACACGGCTTTTTTTCGGAATATTAGTGGTATTGTTATGATCACATGATGTTGATGGATAGTCCATTTTAAATTTTTCAAAAAAATATTTCGAAAGTCGAAAAAATATGCAAAAGTATGAAAATTTAAATCCAGCGACGAACAAGTACGACCAGTGACAGACAGGAGTGACGTCATCTCAACCATAGGTTCGTTTTCGCGCGAAAATATAAATTGACAATTTAAAACCGCATTTTCTCCGATAAATCACAATGTTTTAATTTTTTAATATATCTGTGGTTTATTCTACATGGAATTCTTTAAAATGAAAACAAAAATAAAAATATTGCATCTTCCCTATTGTACACCGGTAGTTGTAGCAGCTCTAGAACAAAAACACTCGAGAAAGTGCCATTAAGTAAATTTTAAGCTATAGCTATATAGCATACGACTGTAGCTATAGATGTCGATCCTGCCCCTCTAGCATGACCACCGAAACGGGATATGATAAAGCGATATATCGGCATTAACTGTCAGACTACTGTCAAACTCCACTGTAGTCTGACAGTTAATGCCGATATATCGCTTTATCATATCCCGTTTCGGTGGTCATGCTAGAGGGGCTGGCATTAAAAAAAAACATATCTTTAAATATCACTTTCTCCTTTTACTGAAGATTATTATTATTATATAATAATCTTCAGTAAAAGGAGAAAGTGCCATTTCGTTGCACTTTATTTTATGCCTTGTGACTACAGGTCCTCAAGCGACAGGAGGCACGGCGTCTAGCGGCCGCGTTCTAGTAGGCGGACGGGCGTGGGCCGGCGCCACCGCCACTCCGCTACCAGTGGTTAAGATTGAAGCTTTGTGCACGCCCTGCGAGCCTCCGCCTAACGCCCCACCTGGCCCGCCCTTGGCGCCCTTGCAGAGGTTCCTGGCCTGCGTCTACATGAAGCGGACGCTGCAACGCTTTGTGCAACAAGAAGAGTTCGTGAGTATCGTCTTTATTGTATGATACGGGCGTGACTAGATACTCGAGTGACAAGGGAGTTTAGCAAGCGCGTTGTAGCCACTCCTTACTGGTGTTGAAGCTCAAGGTGTTATGCATGCCCTGTAAGCCACCACCCAACGTCCCGCCCGGCCCGTCCTTGTTCTTGCATCGGTTCCTATCTACAGTCTTTTTTGAATGACACATGACTTGCGTGACTGTTAGTCTTCAAACGACAGAGGCGTCTAGCGGGTACTCTCTAGTGGACGGGCGCGACTACAACTCCATGATAATTAACTATTCATTTTGATAATACTTGTATAAACTTGAGCTTAAATTGGAAACAGCACCTTCCTGAGCGTCCAATAAAAAATTTTTTTTAGTGTAAGAAATAGAAAATGTTTTCTCTCAATACAATTTAAGTCTCGACGATGAATTGTAAATGTAGTTGAGTCTACGACTATGGTTACAGTTGCGATGAAAATAATGCTCTTATCCCATCGTCATAAAGTTGTTTTTAGTCAAATCTCAATACGTATCATCTATATTGGTGTTTCTTTGTCTAGCTAAATATGGTGTCAGTGGAAGCGACGAGTCTCACATTCCGTTGCGAGGCAGCGGGACTGGCGGCGCGCGTTGCTCTACATCCACAACACTTGCAATCGCTACACTTGCAGTTGACGCCTTTACCCGAAGCTAAGGACACTTGGGCCACTGATGACCTTCAGGTATCTTAATAGTACATATTGTACGTGTTAGTCTCTGTTGCAGCATTTTACTTTAGAATTCTCAAACGATACAAACTTTACGCCTAAATGAGTTAAACTTTGAATAACGAAATCAGTTATTCGCCAGAAGCAGCTAGCCCAAAAACTTTGGAACATATTGTCAACTTATTCTTACCTTCGTCTGGAAAGAGATTTTGTTATAGTTTCTCGGTGAGCCATATACAGACCACTCTTTCCCAGTGGGCACTTTGGGCAAATGCTCAGGGCCCCGCGATCGATAGGGCCCCCCCTCAGATCAAATACAAAGTCCCTAGTTCCTATTAAATCACCAAACGGGGATCATAGGGGCCCCATTATCCTAATATGCCCAGGGGGCCAATCGCCTAACATTTTTTTAAATATTGTTATTACCAATGCAAAAGAAAAAGAAAGAGCGCGAGGCATTTGAATACCTCAGGCGGCTAGAAATAACAAAATAAAATCGTAAGCGTTAGCGTTTTCCAAAGCATTTCCGTTAGGTGATTGGCCCCCAGGACCTCCAATAGGTCAAAGACGGCACTGGCCATATAATAGATCAAAACTATACGTTTGTGTTAATCATAAGGCTAAAAACTCACGGAGCGGTTTTTTCCCGCACACGCGGCCGCAGAGCTGTTTTATTCCAAAACTCACGAGATCAGGTGAAACCAGCCGCGTCTGCCTGTGATTGTGTCCCGTGCGCGCCCGCAGCGGGTGCGGTAACACTCGCGCCCTTTGTGGGCGCATATCGCGATGTGAGTTTTACTTTTGCGTTTAACTTACAATTTCACATAGTACGCGTGCTCCGTTCCTACAGCCGCGGCGGGCTCGGGAGAGTCGCGCCGTGACTTATTAGCCTCATAGTTATGTGATCATGTCTAACTTTGTGACTACAGCGTATGGGGGTGGTTTCAAAGTGAATCGTAGCGCGCTGTCTTATATTTGAATCGTGAATTGTGTCTAGGTAATGGAGAAGTTCTTCGAGCAGCGCGTGGCAGTGGCCCCATACCGCGCGACCGCTTTACAAGGCTGGGCTCGCATATGGGGTGCGCCCGGGGCCGCGTTACCCTCGCTCGTGGCGCTTATGCGGGCTGAGCTCGCCCCACTGGCCCCGCCGCCCGCCTGGCATTTACACTGGGCTCTACGCATCCCACCTGCCGCGCCGCAGATCGTGCCCGCCGGCCAGCCCGCCGTGCTCTTGGCCAAACACAAGATACTGTTCTTTGTGAGTACCGCACTTCACAGCTGATGTCATCTACACTAGGCTCTACGCATCCCGCCTGCCGCGCCGCAGATCGTGCCCGCTGGCCAGCCCGCCGTGCTGCTCGCGAAGCACAAGATACTGTTCTTTGTGAGTACCGCACTTCACAGCTGATGTCATCTACACTAGGCTCTACGCATCCCGCCTGCCGCGCCGCAGATCGTGCCCGCTGGCCAGCCCGCCGTGCTGCTCGCGAAGCACAAGATACTGTTCTTTGTGAGTACCGCACTTCACAGCTGATGGCATCTACACAGGGCACTACGCATTCCGCCCGCCGCGCCGCAGTTCTTGCCCTCCGGACAGCCCGCCGTGATGCTGGCTTAACACAAGATACTGTTCTTTGTGAGTACCGCGCTTCACAGCTGATCTCATCTACACTGGGCTCTACGCATCCCGCCTGCCGCGCCGCAGATCGTGCCCGCTGGCCAGCCCGCCGTGTTGCTCGCGAAGCACAAGATACTGTTCCTTGTGAGTACCGCACTTCACAGCTGATGGCATCTACACAGGGCACTACGCATTCCGCCTGCCGCGCCGCAGTTCTTGCCCACGATGCTGCTGACTAAACACAAGATACTGTTGTTTGTGAGTACTGCACTTCACAGCTGATGGCATCTACACAGGGCACTACGCATTCCGCCCGCCGCGCCGCAGTTCTTGCCCACCGGACAGCCCGCCGTGATGCTGGCTTAACACAAAATACTGTTCTTTGTGAGTACCGCACTTCACAGCTGATGGCATCTACCCTGGGTTCTGCTCGCGTGCCCTCTGGCGAAGCACAAGATACTGTTCTTGGAGTTTAAGAGTACACCGGCATTTTGCAATAACGATATCCATTGTCGATTACAGTGTGACGAAGATCATAATTGTGGAATGTGTGAATAAATGAATGTAACAAAAATCTGAACTAACGCCGCCATCTTGTTGGACGTCATATTGCTGTTTACCCAGTTCTTCTCAGAGGGTCTCCTAGTTTGCAAGTAGTGGCAGTGTACGGTAGTTAGGAGAAAACAAATAAATAACAAAAATGTATTGAATAATGTAATAAAATAGATACTGTTTTCAGTAGTATATTGAAACTTACGATATTTAAAAACAATGCCCTCAGATGAACAGTCTGCTCATTTCTCTTCGAGCCTCTAAAAATATGTGTCCACCTTGAACGAAACTAAATGCGCACTATTTATAAAGAGATTGGTTTTCGTTTAGATTTGTCTGACGCGCGGCGACACGCAACTGGTACTACCGCTGGTGTACGACATGCAGTCCAACGTAACGCAGCTTGCAGATAAGCGCGATTCGCAGCCGCATCTCATCGCTGTCAGCTTACATCTAAAGCGGTAAGCGAGTTTACTAAAATACATAACTAATGGCTGCTTACCATCAGGCGCACCCTATGCTTGATTGCTACCCTTTTAACATAAAAAAGTGTTTTAATCTAACAGAACTTTGAAAAGGCGAAAGAAAAGCATTATATCTCACTATTTTTTTGAAATTGGAAAAATAAGCAAAGTAAATCTTTCCAAGGCATTATCGGGCTTAATGGTAAAAGTAGAACGGACACAGCTCAATTTATTGTTAGTTTTATATAAATCTTTCTCTCTCGTACTCCTTTTTATATAAATTTATTATTGTAAGGTTTCGACAAAGTGTCAGTGCTGATGTAGGACAGCTAATGGCATGCCCAATTCTGCCATGATTCTCTTAACTTATCCTTAATTTGACAGTAGTCTTTCCTTATCATTCTCCATAGACCTTAATATGGACTAATAAGGACCGAATACAGGACACACCCACTAAACCAAAATCGCCAAAGTCGCAAGAATCGTGTATAGATTAAGGAGTTGTGCCAACGATATTAAATACCCTAGCATTTACATTGGGTCATCCACGGAGCTCCGTAAACTGATCGCGTAATCTAAAACAATATGAGGCATTATTTAAACATTGAAAATCACCTTTAATGCATATTATATAAGGTCTTCAATAAAATGCATGCGTCAAAGAGAGTGAGATCGCAACTCGCGTAGAATGTGAAATTGTAGGTTATGTATATTAACAAATTTCATGACGCGATTTACGCTTGCTGATCGCGCGTTTGTTTGCGGACCGCACACCACTTCGGTCCCGTAAGTTTTGAAACAAAACTGCTCCGTGAGTTCTAAGCCTGACGCGTTGGCCACGCTAGAGCGACTGCGGGGGACGGAGGCGGCGAGGAGTGAAGACGCTGCGTCTTGCCGCCTAGTATGGCACGTTGAGGCGGCTGCGCGAATATTATTTGCGCGGATCAAAAATGAGTTTTTCTATATTGGCATTTTCGTGTCTAGAAGAAAGTAGTTGCACAAGACATAGTACAATTAAAAATGGGAGTTCATAATTTAAATAATAACCGACATCATTTTGGTGATTATAAGTTTATCTTATAATTTTCATTGTTATTGGACCTTAATGCAGGTCGAGACATTATTTCGCTCATAAACATATACACGCCTGACCCGCCGACGTGGCAGTTTTCGGCCCGTCTCGTAGCATTGTTTTTCCCGCTCATCGCAGACGTAAGACGCGGTCCGCTAGCGTGACACACAACTGAGTGTGTTTGTGTATCTTGCAGGTTCAACGAGTTCAACCAGTCGCACGCGGAGTGCACGTTGTGGCCGGCGGTGCGAGACTTGCTCACGAACTTCACGCTGCCGCAGGACGCGCCCGCGCCCGCCGCACCGCCGCCGCCATAACTACTGCCTCTACTTTCACCATACACATAGATATAAAGAACGGACTGAACGACACCCGCATGAAATCATTCACATATAGAATGGAATGCCCTGTTCAACTGTAAAGTAAAGCTAGGCAGATAACTGTGAGAGAAGAAGCTATCGTGCGGCCAAGATTTCGTGTAGCTATCGTTAATAGTATAAGCAGTGAGTGAGTGTATCTGTATATGGATCTAGGTTCAACGTGTTCACCCTTGCGGCCTTCTCGCCAACTTCACGCTGCCGCAGGACGCACCTGCACATAAAGAATGGACTGAACGACACCCGCATGAATTGAGGACCTAAAAAAGGCAGTGAGTGTGTCTGTGTATCGATGTAGGTTCATTAAGTTCAACCAATCGTAAGCGGAGTATATGCTGCCGCATTTTATTTAGTACGATCTAATAAAATAATCGTCCTGATACTAAACTCCATTGGTGTTTCACATGCAGATGAAATCCACATTCGCTCAGGTGAAAAACAGCCCTTAGTAAAATCTAAGAGAAACGCCTTATACTACGCTACAATCGTATCAGGACAAAGGTTAAGTGTTTTAAGGTTTGCTTCAAGAGGACTACAGATTTCTCATTTTTTATATTACTTAGAGGTCTTTGTAAATATTTATAACAGATCCTTTTTATTTTTATTATTTTGAATAAGCTAGATAAGATCGAATTCTATTGAAATGTTAACACTAACAAATCGGATAATATTGGCCATTGTCTCCATAAAACATGTTGAATGTTAATTGAATAATTTTTTTAATTATGACAGTTTGATAATAATTAGGACTTTACAGTAATCAATAAACTCATATTTCTATTAAAGTGTTTTTATTTCCTGCTTTCCTATATTAACTGATATGAAATTAAGCTTGCGTAGATAAGAGACTTTGGTTCGTGGAGGAAAAAATCCCGCAATCGTGAAAAAACGTTCGACGAGAACTTGCCACGGACTCAACGCACACGGCGTTTATTGCCCGAAAATTTTGAGAATGAAAGTCAATACTCTAAAATTACGTTGTATTATTATTAACATGAAGTTTGAAAAAAGGAGGAGCTCTATGGCCCAGATGGTTAGCGCCTTCCCTGCGATCGTTGAAGTTAAGCAACTTTCGCAATGGTCGGTCATTGGATGGGTGACCAAAAATCTTCTATCTCGATTTCCTCCATGCTTCGGAAGGCACGCTAAGCCGTTGGTCTCGGCTGCATCTGCAATCGTTAGCACCCGTGGGTATGGCCCAATCTCCCTATTCCGTCCATAGGGAAAGCCTGTGCCCCAGCAGTGGGGACATTAATATGCTGATGATGATGATGATTAGAGAAAGAGAAGATGTTTTAAAAGAAAAAACTAGGTTTAAATCGGATCGAGCTAGCACCGCAGAATAATAATAATAATAATAATAACCTTTATTTCTCACCATAATCACAATGTTGGTATTAATGGCTACATAAAAACTAGAATAATGGTCAATTCATACTGGCGCATCGAAGTGAATTTTAAAAACAGTATAACAGCCAATAACGTAATGAACAGCGAATTTCAGAAACGTAACAAAGCAAAATCACCCTTACTAGTTAAGTCTGAGTTTCGTCCTTTTTTTTGTCATCAAGTAACTTCTGTGTTTCGTCCTTTTTTTGTCATCAAGTAACTTCTGTGTTTCGTCCTTTTTTGTCAAGATGATTAGCGAATGCGTGCGAATTTGCGCGTTCTCTTTTTATCTCAGAAGAAATATGACAGTTACGTTTTTGAAATTAGCTTCGATGCGTTTCGGCTTTGCGCTAGTATGAATTGAACATAAAGTTCGCGTTGTGCGTTGCTGCGCCTGGTCACAGAGTTCCATTATTTCAGGGACCCCCCGTTACTTTTGTCCCGTTCGGTCTCTCGGTGTCCTTGGTTATTCGGGGGACGTTTTGAACGCGGTATTTATACTCTGTCGTGTGCGATATATTTTGGCGGACAAAAGCCCCTCGTCTGCGCAGGCCATAATACTCTTCTTTAGGCTCTTTGCATAGTTACGTCACTGTCTAAATCTCAAGTGTATCTCAAGTTGACAGTGTTTGGTTAGGTATATACAAAAAAAAATTAAATTTTTATAACTACAAAATGACTGAAAATGAAAATCGTCAAAGAAATTCTACAGAAACTATTCTCACTTTTGCAAACAGAAGTATCGTTAGTATAGCTGTTTTACAACAATCTTTCAAATTGCGTGTATTGTGGCCGCTAGGATCTCTTCTTTTTCTTCTTCTTTAGTTTTTCAATGTTCTTTAGTTTTATGTATATTCATTAGATTGCTGGTAACCTTCTCATTTAATGAAACGAAAGTTCAGAAGTGTTGCTACGCTGATCTCTTAATGTAAGATGGAAAATAATAGTTTCCTAAATGAAAGGGCACTCAAGTTCAAGCAACATACCGCACTCATCCTCTTAGTAGCATGAGATTGGTAATAAGGAAAAATCTCTCAGAGTATAAAGTTTTCCTAGTTCAACGGGGTGGAGGAATTGAGTCAAAGTGTTCGTTTTCCTAGTTTTGAAAACTTACATAAGCTGCCGAGCTAATCAAGGGTTCGTCATCATAAATAAAGTAAATATACAGAAATACTTGAGAAATTAGATGACTGTATTAGAGATAGATTATTTCTTCCCATATAGAGAGTGAAGATAGATAACGAATCGATGCAAGATTTTATGGGAAATGGCTACTGTTTATAAATTTTAAGGTTTTAATGATACCTACGTTATGCATTTTGCACTTAAAAGGATGGAAGATGGACATCGGTCGTTGTAACCGATGTCCATCCTCCATCCTTTTAAAAACGTAAAACTTTAAGTCCACCTGTATCCAAGGTATAATACGGGCTTACAGATAGAGGCGGCCAGCCCTTATTGATCACTCGTGTTTGAACACTTGCAAAAATTGCAAGCGAAAAAAAAAACTACTGGCCGCCACCACGTCCGACCACGTCCGCAGGCCGCGTCTGTCTGTGAGACACTTTACACGGTATACGCTTCCCCTACAGAGCGAGTGGTCTACGGTGCTGTCGACGACCCACGTTCCGGGTATGGACGCAGCGATGGGCGGGGACGGAAGCTCGCGGCGCACGCGTGGCCGGCGTCGTCTACGCGCGGGCACGTTTGCGCTGGGCTCCCTACTCGCGATGCACTGCAGGATTACCGCGTCCGCCATCTCTGGAGGCTTCTGTTAGTCTTCTGGCTTCATTCATTGATTAAAATCAGCCTTTTATCATCCCTTATGCTAGGGTAGAGTCATTATCATTTAAGGAGAACTAGGGGGTATTTTACGGCAATAAAGTTAATCGTAATAGGGGCATCTATTTACCTTACTACCGAACAGACGATTGTGCCGGCTTGCAGTGCCGGTGTTTGCAGAGGACTGTTTTATTTTAAGCGCATCTACCTACCTATTAGCTCTAATTTCAACTTGATGCACGTCAGTTTGTAAATGTTTGCAGTTATTGGTTAACATTTTATGTTCGGAGGTGCTTCATGCTTTGACAGAAGTTTAGAATCAACACTCGCAAACTTTCGCTGATAGCGAATTTAATAGCACAAGGAAAGCCCTAAAAGGAAGGAAAGAATCTCTTCCAAATTACTTTCTTTTGCAGTCGTATTCATAATGTTTTTGGTCGCGGCAGTTGCATTCCTCGCAAATCCTCTGCGCCACTTTGAAATTTATCTTGGGCAGTGGAGTATCAGCGGTCCTGGCCGCGCTTTCCGTATGGTGCCTATGTTTGATGGTAGGTTTTAAATGGAAATGAATTTATTTATGTATTCCCTACTTGGTTGACTTAAAATATGTCGGTTTCAGGTATCGGCATAGCCATTTGTATAAATGCTATAATCAGAGCTATAGTTTGTTGCACTATGGCATCAATGACAGCGGTGTACGTGCTGCACTCTGTATCTGACTCGCGACTACCATTTACGTATTGCAGGTACGTTTGTGTTATAATTCTTTGACCATTCTGTTATAATAGGGATGACGACTTACTTTTTTTTCGTGTATTAGGTAGATTACCCAAAAGTATTGGACACGTATTTTTTCTTTTTTCACATAATAAAAACATTACAGAGATATATTGATTTGAAAAGTCGAATGACTAACATTTTGTACTTTATCTTTGTTATTTTTTGATTGATTGACCAAAGAAAAATACGTTAGGGTAATTAGATTTAACTTGATAAAGCCACACTATCTTAACAACTCTGACTCAATATGAAACTAATGTAGAATACTTATAACTAGGAACGAGCGAACCAAATGAATCCTGACCCACTTGCCCAATAATTCGCTTAAAAATGTCAAAACAGACAAGTTTTCCTTTGTATAAAGCGTAATTGCACTAAGGATCTTCTTATAACAAAGAAACTGTGTTAATACGGATCAGAGATATTTGAAACATTACCTTCCTTTTCAATGCAATAGACCATCTTATAGATAAAATTGGAAAAGTAGTTTAAACTTAATCATTTTTAAAATTGTAATGTGAAATCATGACATCATAAAAATCGTTGGTAAAATCTTTAGTCCATGGGCTAAACTCTAAATAATTGAATGGCAAATTTATGTCACAGGAAGGCAGCAAAATCTGTCACGTCAAATATGATTGTTCAGAAAATAACAAGTTTGTTTCCAGGGATACGTACATTTAAGCAAAAATCTACCTTATTTTTTGGAATGGTAAATAGTAACAAAATAAGCTTATGGTGGGTCAGGTATTTGGGTGATTGTACGTAGCAGTTTTCTGGTGCCTTGGTAAAACCCTATTGGGCAGCCTTATAATATTTTTTTTAAATTAACCCCTGTTAAGTAATACATTATAGCAAACTGTTTGTTAGATACACAAATTAATTTTATTGTACTAGGTATCACTATATATGTATTTAGTTTTTTCTTGTAGTTTGTATGTACAAAACATTTGGAACACAATACATATAATTAAAAAATGACTATTTCATTTTAGGGATTTCGATTTAATATCTTACGAACCTACGATGCAAGAAGTAAAAGGTCTAAGGGACTTAGAGGTACACAAATAAAATACATATTTAAAAAAAAAGTTGAATGAAGGTAACGAATCTAAATAAAATGATAGTTATGACCTCATGTTTCTTGCAGAACGTGGAATCCGTTACTATCGCACCAGCGACGGTCGGGCTAAATGAAATAGCCTGGAGGAATGTCTCATCCACGTCCCTGTAAATAATATGTTTCTTTCTTTAACCTTTTAAATATTTTGATATTCAACGGGCTATGGATTTTGTTATAAATATTATTTCCTAATCCTATCTATGACGAAGTTCATAGCCGAGCCGCCGTATGCGTTGCCATTGTTGTCATTCATTCGGGGTCCGATTCCCGTCAACTAATGTGGAACCTTGTATAATGTAAATGCGAGATATACCTAATGACGCGTATTACATCAGTTTTATTCTTTTTATACCACAAGAGCTTTGGGGATTATTACAACTACATGCATCACACCAACGCTCTTTAAGGAACAATGAACCTAAAACTAAAAACCTTAAAAAATATAATATAATAACTGAAATATAGGAATAAATAAATATATACTAACTAAAAGGAGTCCCTTTATGCAAGGTTCCGAAGATAACGCTCTTATGTAATATTTTAAACAAACTATAGTAAAATTATTTTAATTCACAGTAATAATTTGAAAAAACTTGAGCTTACACGTCATATCGCAATGTGCAAAGAAGTTTACAATGGTTCGTATCCGCCTTTTTTCGGAACTCCTGCATATAATTTTTTCTTGTAAGTCCTATAAAATATATTGTTTATTTATTAATAGATATGAGATAAGTAATGAGATCGAAATATATAGTGATTGTTTGCGTTTGGTTTATGGCAAAATGTTCCAACAACGAAGAGGAGAAAGTCAAAGCACTTGTGGTCAAAGTGAGCGTTTTATGAAAGGACACTTCAAATTTGTATAGATAGTGGTACTGAATCTCCGGCAGACACCAAATTTTTAAGAGACGTGGTAAACTTTATTGTAAATCGTTTGGCAAAAATTTAGAATTTATGTTACCCCCATTTTTTTAAATAATTATTAAAATATAAAATCTTTGATGGGCAAATGGAAAATTTATTTATGTATTTTTTGTTGCCAAAGCATCAAATATATTCTATTCAATAGGTTATTATAGCAGTGAAATTATTATGAAAGACGAACACATCTTTAATAAAATAATATGTAGGTATTTCGTGGGAATTTTATTTCAAGAAGAATCAATCATAAATTGGTATAATAAGTTCACCACGATTTCGTGGATATCATGCATGCATGACTAGACTGATTGACATTTGCCATAGTGATTAAACTTAATCGAGGATAAATAAAATGTTAAAAGTATCTTATTTACTAAGATCTGTTCATGTTATAATATAAAAGAAACTTATTTTAGAAATGACATAAGTTTTGTCGCTGACGGAAACGGACTACCACTTTTGAACCGTCTCCTTTATTTCTTTGTGTAGCGATCCTAGTCATAAACTATACTTTAGTTTTTATTTTACTATGTTGTATTTTTCAGTAGAATACTATAAATTTGAGTATTTTTATCTAATTTTAGCGTGGAAGTGGTGCATTTGCAGCCCGATCTATCTGTGAAAAATTTTAATGTCGCATTGATGGTATGCCTTATAATCGCCTGGCTCTCTTTGTGGGGAGTTATGATTAGTGAAAAAATTTCACACGGTAGAGTGAGTATTAAATCACACAAAAAAGAGTGGGTTAAATATTGCTTAAATAATAATAATAATTTATTTTTTGCATTTATGGTATTTTAGTTGATTTGGAATAACATGTACTCGTGTTTTGTGGTGGTGCCATGGATATGGGCGATACTCTTGATGCTGACAGCAATCCTTAACATCCCATCGATGCAACACGTACTGCAAAAAACTTTTCATCTCGAAACCATGGATATAGTTTCTGTCCGTATTTTTGTAGTTTGTAAATTATTCTATTAATTTATATTTTAATTGATACTGAAAATGAACTGTTAGTTTCTTTTTAGGCTGCAGGTGATGCTTTGGAAGTGGCGATGTATACCCATTCGGCGAGCGTAGGCACAGAAATTATTCTTGGAAAAGGCCTCAACCATTATGGTATTCTTAAATCTTTTTTTTTTTTTTTTGAGTGTGTATGCTGTTGGTCGCAGATGACCTTTACAGCGTCACCGGGTTTGGGGACGGCGAGATCCTAAGGGGACCTCAAGCCGAGAATTGGCGAGTGCCTCTGGAGGTATTCCAGTCGGATGGCGTCTCCCCGGGGGGAGTCTCCACTCCGTCTGAAGCCTCCAGACCACTCGAACCTGAGGGGGTCGGCTCAACTAGAGGGCGTCTCTGAGACTCGGACCTCGGCTCTAGTTAGCCGTTGTCGTGGGGTTCTTAAATCTGTAACTTATTAAAGCACAATCGAATCAGTATCCAGTTAGTCCATCAAAACAGCATTTAAGCCTAGTATACCAGTCTTTTTTATTTTCCAAAATTATTGATACGTTATTGTTATTAAACTCCTTTTGTGACAACGAGGACTGTTCTTTTATCAGCAGCCGGACATATAGATCCTAATTTGAACCCTGAGAACGTGTGGCACTCTGGATTGGTGTTACTGCTTGCAGTATTGAATTCGATCAGTTCGGATTTTTGTGCAATCGCCGATTTAATGCAAGTTACTACACAGGAGGCACATGTTTTACATGAAAGTATGCACTAATGCAGATAAGTTGAAATAATTAAGGTTCCTAGATAGAATAACGCATTGGAGTGGGCGGCCCTAGGCATAACCGTTACTATTATGGTACTGGGCCTTCCGGGTAGGGTTACCAAATGAAAAAATCAAAGGACCGGAGAAAAGGCTTGATTTCCATTGAAAAATCCTGAGATTTTTTACAATTTGAGAATTTTCTCTCAAACGTAGGTACTTAACAATTTAAAAAAATCCTAATATTATTGTTTATATACACTTCTTATACTATTGATTCAATATAATTTGAAGAACATTACATGTGGAGCATTTTATAAATCCATAATTATCGGATCAAACGAACTTACCTGAAGTGAAGTTCGATCTTGATTATCTTGTCTTCGTCGAAGAGATTTATCTTACCATGTAGTTGTTCGGACAACACGAACAAGTTTCCGCACGTATGTTTAGCGCTGTTGTAAAAAGAAAGCGACGGCATCCGCTGTCTCTCTCCCACAGCGATGACGCGCGAGCGCGCCTGTCAGACCTCATTATTTTAGAGAAGTGTCTCCTCATTGTTTGATTATGGGATGGGAGGGACCTTAAATCTCTTCGACGAAGACAAGATAATCAAGATCGAACTTCACTTCAGGTAAGTTCGTTTGATCCGATAATTATCTTGTCTTCGTCTTACGAGATTTATCTTACCATGTAGATGTTCAGAGAACTATCAAGATAATATGGGGAAATAGAAAAATGTTGCATTTATCTTTAATCATTTATTTACGTAACAGTAATAAATAAAACAAAAAGCAATTAAAAGTACTTCTCAACAACCATTACCTAATACACTTATCAAATTAGGACTACAATTAATAATAGGCCGATTGTAAAAATTTGCGAAGACCGCTGGCTGGTCGGACCAACCTGCGCATTTCCTTATAATATCGACGCTCAGGCCAGACCGTAGCGCTGCCGAAGTACTTGCGTGGCGTGTGCTGTGAGCACTAAACATAGAGGTGTCCACGCCGCTCTCTTCGAGCGTCTGTTTGATCCAGCGTGCAATTGTTTGGCTAGACGCGGCTCTATGGGGCTTTTTGTGAGTCACCAAAAGTTGTACTACATCGGACGGTCTTTTCTGAGCTGATACCTCAATATATGTCTTTAAGGTGAGAGCTGGACAAACATTTTGCCTTTGTGTGAAAAAGGGCAGGTGAAGCACTGGTTGCGAGCGACCAATACCTGAGGTTTTAACTAAATCCGTAATTTGAATAATAATTGTATCATTAGAAATTCTTATATTTGGTATTTTAATCAAGGAAATAGTTTGAGTCCTCTGGCCTGAGGCTAGGGCTAACAGAGTGACCAATTTCTTACTTAATTGTTCAAAACTAATCACTTCGTTCGGATATTGTGTTGATAAAAAGTCTAAGACCGTGTTAGGATTCCATGTAACATTGTAGCGTGGAAATGTGGGTTTGAGTTTAAATATTCCCTTGAAAAAACGCTTTACTCTTTCGTCTTGACCTATATTATTATTAGTAGATATTAAAGATATTGCAGAACGATGATTATTGAGTGTGCCGTATGATGCTCCTGATTCAAAACAAATCGAGAGAAAATCTAACAAATTATTAATTTTAACGTCGAATATGTCAAAATGTTTCTGAGCACAAAAATTCCACCACTGTCTTAAACTGCTGGAATATTGAGATTTGGTGTTAGCTGAGATAGATGATGTCATCATAGCCAGGGCAGATTCGGGAACTCCTTTCTTTAGGAACGCCTCCCGGATAGCACGCTCACAGCCAGGGAAAGGTGTTGGTGCAATGGGTGTATCTGCCTGAAAGAAGATGATAACAAATTCTTATCGGGGGGAAGGATAAGCGGTTCCTCTACGCAAAGTGATTTAAACAAAGGAAACCATGGCTGTGATGGCCAATAGGAAACTACAACGATCCGCTGTGCTTGATCTGAAATAATTTTATTTAAAGTTTTTAAAATTAAAGAAAATGGTGGGAATGCGTAAAAATTGTAAATATTCCAGTGGACAGTAAAAGCATCTATATTTTGGGCGAATGGGTCCGGTTTCCATGAAATGAAAGCGGTGCATTTAGAGTTAATACGGGTTGCAAAAAGATCTATGTTAGGTACACCATAACGACAAGTAATTTGTGTAAAAGCATCTGCACTAATCTCCCATTCAGTATCTACATTTATGTTTCTCGATTCCCTATCTGCGTCGATATTTTCGGCTGATCTTATGTATGAAGCGAAAATAACAATGTTTCGATCCTCACACCATTTCCATATGAGTTTTGTTATGCGGTTCAGGTGGGGGTATTGAATGCCACCCATGCGATTTACATAGGAAATAGCCGTCGTATTATCTACTCTCATTAAAATGTGGCAATTATTTTTGTTCTTAGCAAATGACATGAGTCCAAAATAAACTGCTAGTAATTCCAAGTAGTTGATATGATAGGATTGCTCTCCTTTGGTCCAAAAACCACCAGTGTGATGGCCAGCGCAAGAAGCGCCCCATCCCGTAGTGGATGCATCAGTAAAGATTTCAGTACTGTATTTAGTTCCCTGGATGGGCTGAACAGCCGTAGTAATATTGAGTTTCCACCACAGCAGATCCTCATGTAAACTACTTGGAATTATCATGAACCTGTCGTAACTATTCCCATTTCGTGACAAAGCCATGTATTTTGCTCTTTCTAGAGACTTGGTATACAACCATGAGTATGGAATTGCCGGGCAGGCTGAGACAAGGGTGCCTAAATATTTAGCAAATTCGCGTATACGTATATTTTTTCGATTTACCAAATGGTCAATCATTACGTCTAACATATGGGTAATTTTGTGTCTTTTTTCATTCGGTAGCTCAAAGGTCATTGAGCCAGAGTTAAGATTATAACCTAAAAAAATACATGATTGATTAGGTATCAAGACGCTCTTGTCGTAATTTATAATTAAGCCTAAATCTGTAAGGGTCTTAACAGTTTCATTTATGTTTTTCAAACAATCCTCGTATGAATTTCCCAGACATAAAAAGTCATCCAAGTACCTAACTGATAAAAAACCTTTCGATCGTAAGTGTGAAACTATGGGTTGAATTAACTTTGTAAATATATATGGTGCTGAACAGAGGCCAAATGGTAAAGCAGTGAATTCGTACAATTCCTTGTAATAAAACCGAAGAAATTTCCTATCTTGTGAATGTACTGGTACTAAGAAATATGCCTCCTTGAGGTCAATTTTTCCCATAAAACAATTAGGGGACATGAGGCGCACTGCGGTTCTTATGTCTTCCATCTTAAAATGGTTGCCTTGTACAAATTTATTTAGTCTTTTAAGGTTTAAGATGAATCTCATAGATCCATCGCTTTTGGGAGTTAAAAATATATCTGAAACAAATTGATCTCTAGAAGGCATACATCTTTTAATGGCTTTAATTTCGAGTAAATGTTTTATTTCTATATCAATTGCGATAGCCTCAGTTTTAGAAAAATTTCGAGTAGGGTACTTTGATATTTGGTGAGGTTTGGTTTTGAATGGTATACGATAACCTTGGATAGTGTCTAAAACAAATTTATCACTTGTGATGGATCACCATGCATTTAAATAATGACGTAAACGTCCAGCGTGAGTCACCTGTGAGGTTACGTAGTTCGAGGAGGTGGCGGTGGCGGTCGGGCTGCATACGGGGGTGCGTGTGCTGCGGGCTGGCGACGCGGCGCGACGTGCGGGGGTGGCCGCCGAGCTGGCGGCGGAGCCGGGGGCTGGACCACTCGGCGTCGACTCGCGTATTGTGCTTGGTACCCGCTGGCGCGACTTGCTGGTTGTTGGTTGCTCCTCCGCAATCGTGGTCGTGCTGGCGGGCCTTTCCAGTTTAAACCGCTGGTAGAAGGGGCTTGAATTAGTTGACCAGTCTTTTTAATACCCCTTGAGCTCTTTACGAGATCCCCGAGTTTATCGCCAAACAGGAACTCGTCCCTCTTCCGGTCTTTGAATGAGTCGACTAGTGACTTTTCTATCAAGCCAAGGATTAAAGACTTCCTTGTATCAGTCTCTAAATAGTGAGAATCAGACATTAGTTTCAATGCATCATTCAATACACGTAGAACTTCGGGAATATCCGGGGTTTTCTTTAATAATAGTGACATGGCTCTGGTCAGGGCCGCCAAGGCTCGGCCATGTTGCTCCTGTTTTGAGCTAATTCTTTTGTCTCTATTGCGAGAAGAATCATTTAGCATAGTGCTAATTTCGGGGTTCAATGTAGGTGCTTTAAGTAAGGGTATATTTTTGGGAAAAGGTACTTTTTCGACAGTTCATCCTTGAGGTCCTTTTTTAGGCCGTTAGTTATGATGAATTGGACTCTTTTAGCAATGTCACTCTGAACATCTTCACCCCACTCAACTTCGTCGGTTTCAAGGTCACCAAGAACCTTTAACATTTCAGTGTCTATATCGAGGGCGACGTCGGCAACGCCGCTTAATAATTCTGCGTCAATATCAGTCTCAGGCACTAAAATCTCCGATAATTCGGGTTCGTAAACCGGATCGATCATATTCCCAGCTTCGGAGCATTCAGGGTTAAGTGGTGAGCTTCCAGTATCGAGGTGATCTGTAAGCGTTAAAAAAGGAAGCGTTATGAAACTTATTTAGCGTTCGAAACTATAGTATTGTTATTTAAAGAGCGTGACAAGAATGTAAAATATCTAGTGCTAAAGTAAAAAATGTGGGTATTTTAACATAGGAAAATACCAAGAAATTAAATTATGCTAGCTAAAGCGCAGCGAAAAGATCACTGTGGTTTGGCGTTTGCGATAAGCAACCGGTTTTTTAAGTAGTTTACAGTTGCTTCTGGCTAACAACCCGTGTTAGCTCGGAGCGAAAATTGGCTTTTGGCTAACATCGCGTGTTAGCTCGAAGCATTTTTCACAATAGCCATTGGTCAATGTCTCGCATTAACTCGAGGCGAAATATACACACCCTCACTAGTCACTTTCACTTTTTTTTTTTTTAAGAAAACATTTACCTTTCATTTGCGCACCTTCTTCGTCACCGGAGTATCTTCCCGAACTAATTTCCTTCTGCCTTAACTTTTCTTCATATTTTTTCATCTTTCTCGCCCATCGATCTTCCTTACTTTCGTCACGTTTGCGTTTAGGCATAGTATGCCGTATTTTATTGAAAATTCAAGAAATCCTGAGATTTAATGAGATTTGCAAAATTCAGCCGCAATCCTAAGAGTTCAAAAATCCTGAAATCTCAGGACAAATCCTGAGATATGGTAACCCTACTTCCGGGGACTACGCTTTTAAGCGCGAGCGACATAATGTATACAGTATATATACATTATGTCATATATATATTATTACATATTTGCCAGGATATGTTAGCTATTAGTTTGCGATTTTCATTTTGTGATGGACAACCACGGAAACCTACATTGCGCGTGCCCAAACACACAATTAACCCATTTTTCTTTATCCTGTCGTATTGTTTGTATCTCGCTAGATCGCGTTATGTAATTGGTTAATAATAGGGTGTATCAGGAGTGCTACCTGGTGGCAATTGCATAGTAATAGACAGAGGGAGAGGACCTCAATGGCGCAAGTGGTTGAGAAAGTTGCTTAACTTCAACGATTGCAGTCGTTGAAGATAAGCAACTTTCGCAGTGCTCGGTTATTGGATGAGTGACCAAACATTTACTATCTCGAGCTCCTCCGTGCTTCGGAAGGCACGTTAAGCCGTTGATCCCGGCTGCATCTGCAGTCGTTAGCACCCACTAATACGCACTGCTATATACTATTCCATCTATAGGGAAGGCCTGTGCCCCAACAGTGGGGACATTAATAAGCTGATGATGATAATAGACAGAGGGAGGATTTACCCTAGGGCCATGGCCCGGGACGGCAAGCTGTGAGGGGCAGATGCAAGAGTTCACCCCTGCTACAAGTACAACATTTCGTTTGACACAGCTGTCGTTTACATTATTTTACTACTTGATTTGAAAGTTTACGATCTATTATTATTTCAGGCACTTTATGGATTATACCTATGTATTCAAAGTGTACATCGACTGGGTCCTATTCTCACTTGCTGTTAGTTTATTTAGACATTGTATATTTTGAATAACTATATAATTATATAAAAACTATTAAACATGTATTATATTTTCCAGATCGACGCTTATATTTGCTGGTTTGACGTTTTCCTACTTGGTCGTAGCATACACGTTACTCAAGACAGCACTTCATATAATATTTGAATATAAAGTTAAACTAGTGTTAGTTCTGTTAAACAGTCCTTTTTTTGCTGAATGTATACTTACCATTTAAAACTTTTTTAATATTATTTTTCTTATTTCAAATATCAGGTTCATTGAGCAATCAATTGTTGGCATCCTAATTGTGACTTGCATGGTATTAAGTTTGATTGTAGTTTTAATAGTGAGTATTTTTAGTTTTTCAGTCTTGTTAATACAAAGTTCTTCGTGGTTTATAATATTAAGTTGATTTTATGACTAAGCCAAACTTTAACAAAATAATTCTATGCTATTTTTTACACCTTTTTCTGTGGTCAGGGAGGCATAGCAATGTTAGAAAGCTTAGATGCCGTCATGACGGGATTGGCGATGCCGCTGCTCTGTTTCCAAGAACTAGTCGTGATGCTGTGGGTCTACCGCAGTCACGACTTCGTGTCAGATATGAACATTGCTACGGAAGAGAACGCCTGCCCCACTCGCATCGGAACCCAGTGGCAAATTATACCTTTCATAGTGTTGGTAAAGTATTTATATGGATAAATTATTATAGCTTTATCATTTTATTTATGATTCACAATTAAAAGACAAAATTTGCCAGTATAGTAACTCAATGCGTTGTTGATTGTACTAATGTCTAGTGCGTTTGTATTGTTTTGTCTCCCAGCCCAGTAAATGTAACTGCTATGATGTGCAGACAGCCACAGATGAAGTTCCCCAAAACTGTGAACTTTCTCCAACTGACTTTGAACTTTATATTACTTGACATAAGGTTCACAATGTTATGAATCAATTTGACAGTTTATTCATATTATTAATGTGTTCGATTGTTTTCAGCTTACATTCATATTGAAAGTAACAGTGCTTACTATGACTGAATTGCCGCACCGCCATTTGAATTGGGCGCTTTTACCGTTAGCTGCTGTTGTTGTAGCGGTACCTGTGAGAGCCATCAGTAATGCTTACAATTTCTTTGGGTCCTCAAAATAAACAAGTAAGAGCTATGTCCCAGTTAAAATATACAGTAGCACAAGAACTTGGAACTAATTTTATGCATAATATGCATCTCTTTCTAACGTTGCAAGTTAATTTTTTCGGAAGACGAAAATATTTTTGCCAAATGTTGTTGGTTAAAAGGTAAACACAACGAGCCATTGTGATACTGGTTGTTACCAGCGAAATAACACGAGTTCATAACAAGAACTTTTCAAATCTACAAACAACGAATAGGATAGGATATCTTCATTGAATTGGTGCCTACACGAATTTAATTTGGCACCTGTCGGAGTCAACGAAGAATGTCAATGTAACCTATTGTAATGTAATTGAAAATTTTAGGGAAATCTAAATAAAAAGACTACTGATTGAAAATAGATGTTTATTATATCAATCATTTAAAATATTTATAAATATAGATCTTTGTACAACGCGTTCGATATGCGTACACATAGGAGCCAATACACAATAGTGGCCTTCATGAGACTCGCATAAAATCTATAGACAAGTTTCTGAAGGTGATCACTGATCAGGAGGCCTACTCTGATTCAACGAAAAACGATATTTCGATCAAAACTTCGCACTTTTCTTTGTATTTTTCTGGTTTGTTTTTAATTATAACAATATTCGTCGGCGGAATATAGATTGTGGTGTAGATTTTCTAAGCCTACTCAAAGAAAGCTTCAATTTGATGGTTTATCGTTCAAATTAAGTATAACCTTAAATTGACGAAATTAAATTTCGTTTGAACTTCGTTAGCGAAAGTTCATTTCGGAGAAAGAGAGTAGACCCCTAGAGTACTGGTCGCACGGGACCTTGCACGCTATTTACATTAGGCCAGCTTCACCTTCTCATACCATATCCACTACTCAGACATTTGGTCATGGCAACATGCCGGTAACACTAGCACTTACCAGCAGTGAATAAGGTAGGTTTTACATCACTACTTTAATCCTACAACGCCTATTACACGATTAAATTAAAATATCACAATATGTACATATTATTTTCAGGACTATCTCATTAATATCAATATTCGATTCGACGCAAGCAGTTTCGGTGTAAATGACATTTACACTGTTTATGATCCCAAACATAAATAACGTTACAAATTAAATTTTCGAAAATAGTGGAGATAATAATAAATTACAATACATAATTCAATATAAGCGGCTGCCCTACATTTCGTTATAAACAATATTTGTGACAAATAGTGTCATACCATTAGACCAGATACACACAAACAATTCCAAATAAGATTCTCATTGCATAGACAGGCCTGTAACAGACCATTCAACGCAATTCATTACATGACAAAAATTTACGATATTCGTATATTCGAGGCCGTTCATAGCGTTTCCAACGATACAATCGATAACATCACTTATAATATTATAAACAGGATTCGACATGTTTTCGCTTATAGCGTATGAAGGCACTTCTAGCACTCGGGCATTCCGGAGAGGGTTTAAGTTCGACACTTTTTGGTTTGCACATTTATAGTCACAGTTCACACATCGGCCGCCTGACGATACACTGCACCGCACTTCCGACATAACTACCTATACGAAAGCATCCCATTTTATCAAAAGTATATTGTTCAACACTTTTCTATCATACAGTTTCACTCCAGAATTTTATTCCGCTTTAACCATAGCCCCAATGTAAACCGAACTGAATGAATGTCACCAAAACAGTGTACAATAAGCTATCTCGTATATGGATAATGTTAAAAAACTTATGTAATGTAAATTTAATTATTACAATAATTATTTAACTACACCTGTATAAATACACCATTAAGCGATTTAAGCATCTACTGCAATAATTATAAAACACTTTAATGCCATTTCATTAGTGATTGTATGATGAAATTTGCATTGCTACTTTTTTGTTACACTGTTTTGGTATCATTTTGACCGGGGTACTATCACCCTTTTGCACCATACTGTTTTTTATCAGTGGAAATTTTCAACAACACAATTTTGAATCACCGGTATGAGATACACTTTTCAAGTTGCGCCTAAACATCAAGTTAAGTAAGACAACAGATGTGAATGGAAATAACAAAAAAAATATATAGAAGACCTTCATACTTTTAAAATATCACCAGACACCACTACATCGGAGTGAGAGTTTATATTCTTCCGCTACCATGTTATTGTTAAAATGGACCATCTCAAAATAGTGACATGTGGTGATTTGTAAAGTCATAGCGTTCTTACTATAAAATCTTTGTCATTTAATACGCACATCTAAATAAACGCGGACGAGCTTAGAAACTTCACATTCAAATATCGATTTTTTGGTAAACAGTTGGTGCTTTTCCAGATTGGCAGTGAGACGCGGTCCTCACATTGCTACACGGCAAGTATTCTGGTTTGACGTAGAGAGTAATATCCATGATATTGATTCCTTACTCACTTACTTGATTCGCTTGAAAATTACAAAACAGCTAAGTTTTCTTGTATAGAAAATGCATTTTAACCATGTAACTATTAATAAAGATCAAAGGTCCTTGAAATTTCACCTTTGTTACCAACTTAGTAGATCATATTTTAGATAAAATTTGGATATATAATCGCAGTATAAAACAAACTCTTTTGATTGGTAGGTGGCAATTGTTGAGAAAATAACAAGTTTGTATCCTGGGGTTATACATTTAAGCTAAAGATTTTATTGAAATGCTTCATCTTATTTTATGAAAAAAGTTTATGGTGTGTCAAGAGTCAAATTGGTTAATAGTACCACAAATAGTGTTGACAATTCGCTCGGTACATGCCGACATAGATTGCGTCTCGCGTAGTGCGTAGCAGTGTGAGCACGGCGTGTCCGTGAGGGCGTAGTTACTTCGACTGGGCACATAAGTACGATTACCTGATCAGGAATACAGATTCGGAGACTTGAATGCACGTACTTCCACACAAAATGTTCAACGAGGCGCACACTAACGATTATATTTTTCAAAATGGAAAAAACCTAACGTTCGTCTCGGAAACTACCAAATAAAAAAAACCTTAACATCTGCTAGGCTCACGGAATTCCGAAGCTGAATCTCTGATCAGGAAACTGTACTCGCCCAGCCATAGGTTGGTTTTATAGTCACGCCGCTAGATGCCCCGTTGGGCAGCGCGCTGTTCAACAGCGTTTACCAAACGGCGCCTCTTAAGCGCGCGACTTTGAAACGCAACTAACCCATACATATATACAACCCAAGCGCGCGTGCTCCAACGGGCTTGCCGAAACGCGTAACGATAAAACCAGCCTTACAGTCACGTATTGTTTCGCGCACTATAGCAGTGTTCACACGGTGGTATCGGGGCATGGCTACGCGTTAGTGTTAGTGTTGCGGGTCAGCAGTCAGGCGGCGGCGGTGCGGCGTCAGAAGCGGCGCAGTGCGGCGGCCGCCTTGCGCGTGGGCTGCACGGACAGCGGCGCCACAAGCACTTCCCCGCCGCCTTCTGAGCACGTGCCTCCACTCGCGCCCATCTCCTATATAATAAATAAATATTTCCAACACTCACACCAATTAGCCTAACCCCAAAGTAAGCACTGTAAGGCTTGTATGATGGGATACTAGGGTAACGGATAGAATACATATACAATTAATTAGAAATACATATTAAACAGCCATGACGTACAAATGCTCGTATTCATCACACAAACATCTGCCCCCACCGGGATTTGAACCCGGGACCTCTCGAATCGACGACACTATGAAACCCGGCGTATAAACCACTCGGCCACGGAGGTCGTCAGTATATCATCAAGAAATCATTGTTGGTAAACTACAAAGCGAGACCACGCAAGCGGGCAGCCTCGTGCGAAAAAAACTGTCCTCAAACGAGAGCGGCAGCCTCGCTTTCACTGCGAGTTATGGCATCACACGTACGTGTTGCGGTGGCATGCTCGAGCGAGGGATGAAACAAAATACGCGAGCGTCCAGAAGGCGCGCGGCAAACGAAGCGCTGAACTGAAGCGCCTTCAAGCAAACAAGAGCCGACATTCGATAGCTCGGACGCTCGATCGCTTGCCCGTGGCAGCGAGCGCACTTCTACACTATATGCTGCACGTTCTGTGTGGACACGGCTATTAACACATACAAACAAGTACTCACAATTGCGCTCAAGTGTCGGAAGCAAAATTAAGCACACACGTCTATTGTTAGACGCGTGTGCTAATATGTAGTGTTAATATAGTTACGCACAAGCGTAAATTTGTTTCTGTGTTTCGAACGTACCTATGATTACAAAACAACGCCACGCAATGACAGTGTTCGGTCAAAACAGTGCAAATTAAATAAGATACACTTAAAAAACATGAGTGTCGTATTTGAGGTAAGTGCCCCTTAAACTAACAAAATAACGCATCTATATTGACGTGTCTATCGTATTGCAAATTAATTACATTTTTTTTAAACATCTAGCAGTTATATGCTTAAAAAATAAATAAAATCATAACTATAGTAGTCATAACTATTTCTTCTTTCAAATGTTTAATACTTGAAAAAGTATTCATTTGACATTGAGGGTTACCTACAATGCGAAGAGATGGCGCTGCCTTGCAGCTTAAGGCTAGGAAAATTTCGACACGGTTAATAGGGCCGTGGTAGCATAATGGTCAGTGCATTCGCCCGGATAGCGAAGGATGCGGGTGCGAGTCCCGTCCGCTGCCTGGTCCGCGTGGATTTTTTTCTAGTAAACTTTTCTTTAGATTTAAACATCTAGCAGTTAAATGCTTAAAAAATAAATAAAATCATAATTACAATTTATTAGCTACAGCTAAATAAATATCTCTCCCCGTATGCGGCCCGGGGTTACGTGATCGTGTCTCTCTCGCACCGTAATCAAACCATCTTTCTCTCTCGTATATAATTTACGTTGAACCTTACTGCCACGACGTAACGCGTTAATTTGAACAAATGTGTTAACGTAACAACGTAGAAAATAAAAGAATATAACAAACGTTGGTGACTCATTTCTTTGTATTTCTGGTCTGGTATGTCTGGTCCTTCCTACAATCTGGAGTCCTTTAAAATGGCGTGAAAAAGCATTTCTGCAGGCCGGAAAGGTGATGATGGTTGTTGTGGCAGTTTATAACTGCTGCACCAGCTAACTTCGCGTCTGGACTTTACCACCACTTTACATCAGGTGGGGTCGATTCATTTGTCTGCCTAGTTATCTATACATATAATAAAATGGTAGGAAAGTCAAAACTGTACATTGAATATGTTTTTAAAAGAATACCTGGGGTGTGATCTACAATCGATACCGAAGCCAAAAATAATAATTATTAGATTTTTTGTCTGTTGGACTATATGTCCGGGATAATCTAAAAAATAGTGCATGGATTTACTTCAAATATGGCACGAATATTATTAAGAAGTCGGGTCAACATATAGGCTACATATTATCACGCTATCACCTACGGGGAACGAGCAGTGAACCTTTATCTATAACTAACTCCACGCGTACGAAGTCGCGGGCGGCCGTTAGTAAAAAATAATAAAAACTCTTTTTATACCCACATTGATGTTATTACAACTGGCGAGTCGCATCTGCGCGAGCTGAGCGGCCGGCAGGTTGGTGGTGGACCCGAACGGGGAGATCATCGACGACATCGCTCGCTTTAGCTTCGAGGGAGTCTTGTTGAACGACAACGCGCGACCCACCTGGCGACACACGATCGACATTGTTAAACAACCCACTGTAATGGCAGCACTTCACATGGCTGTTCGTAATTGCTATTTGTAGACTTGACAACAGTGTCTTTATCATGCTTTATAAAGAATGAAAAGGACATACTGATGACAAGTTTACAAATAGCAAAGTGAAGTACCAGAATTAAATAAATCCACACCCTGCTAAATACTACAAATGTATTCAATAAGTGTAAGTAAAAATAAAAAAAAAACAATGGAAAAAAACTGCAAGCGCACGATTAAAATACGTATTTACATACAATAGTACGATCTTATGTGACATCTGCAATAATTCAATTAAAAAAATGCTATACAACAAACGGTTTATATTTTTACACTTCTTATTTATTATTATTAAGTAGTAGTTAAAATTACATTACCTTAGTTTTCCATGCTTTAATTACTTATGAAGTTAGTAGGACATGTTAACAGAAGTGTAATGACCAACGTGAACTTTAGACAGTACAAATCGCAATACTTGAGACAGATGTAAACAATGAACAAGAATAACAGGCTTTGTGAATGATTGTGATCCCAACTCCCTCAGGTATGGCACGCTCACGAAAACAGTGGTTAATAACAAATGTGTGAAGCGAAGCATTATTCGGACATTCACTCCTCCGACTCTTCCTCCTGAACCGAAAAGTTTCACTCCGTCCAAGTGTGTTCGGTCATCCATCCCAGGCAGAAACGCTACAATGACGCCTTTGTTAACCTTTTTATTGAAAAGCATATAGTGTGAATATATAACCTCGATAGAGGCGGACAAATTATTCGATTACGATGCGCAACACACCGATTCCTGTGTTTGTTCGAAGTAAGGTGTATGCCTATATTGGCGCTGAAACCGCAACCGTGTTATGAAGACAGGGGAAAGACGCGACGTGTAAGCGTCGCGAAGCGAAGTGCTAGACCAACCGCATTTTGGATGCGATTTTATCCGAATTGGAGTGTGAATATTGATCCATCCCGTTTTTTCACGCAAGAAGGAATGATAACTGTCACACTAGGTATGATCTAGTCGAGAAATATATTTGTTCAACTTTTTTAATTTTTACTTGTTTTATCGATATTACAATGCCCGATATTCCCGAAACTATCTTTGAATCAACCACTGATTGCTCTTCATAAAGAAAATATAAGTCGTGCTAATGTCATGCATGGATCATAGTGACAAAACACACGCAACATCACGCGCGCTGTATTCTCAACTCCCACAACGTACGTTAACAAAAAATCGCATCCAACGTGCGGTCGGCGTAAGTGAACAGTGATGACGCATTGACTGGTATGGTATTATTGTATACACAGGAAGCAGTATGTGGTCGTATGATTAGTCGGGCGCGGCGGGGGTCGTATGAGAGGAGCGGTGGAGTCGTGGAGTGTGGAGTCGCGTCAGACCTGTGCGAGTAAGTGAGCGCGCAATACCCATGTGTCTAGCAGGCCGGCACCCGGCTCGGCGCGCAGCCACCCGCCCAGCCCGGCCATCGCCTCCAGCTACAACACAACCACCTCTACACCGATCTACTCTACTCCACTCAACTATTATCTATCTACACCTAACGCCACTGTACAACATGGTATTTGACAAGGTTTAGAAAACGATCTCAAGTAATTTTCTAATGTTTATGGAGTCCATAAAAAGTAGATATAGGTACAAAATTCTGTTGTGTATTTCAGTGAAAAACCTAAATCAAAAATTCTGTTTTCAAGCTTCTCTGGACATTATCTTCTGCGTCTTACTGTTATGTGACGTCACACGACTGTCATTAAAACGTCAAACGATATAATGTAATGTCACTTTGTCCGGAGGTTCACTAGCGCGTGAGGTCGCCAATCCCAGGCATTTTTGGGCCACGTGACCATAGAAAAAAAAAACATTTTTAATGATTTATTGGAAAGGCAATAATTTATTTGTTCTCAGAATAGTAAAATCGCTGCTAATATTCACATTAAATACAGATGCCAACAATTGATACTTTCGTTTTTCATACTGGAAATAGCCTATTAATTTCTATGTAACATATACATATAAAAGGCTTAAAGCCGTCCACGCCAACAGGAAGTAGCGTGACGGAGATATACGAGACTTCAGCCAGTCATTTCGTCGTGCTCTGTGGCACGGCATGGACAAGGACCTACCCACTAAAAACCAGACAAAACTCTTAGCACCTGTCACCGGCACACCTTTAACGACTTGTCGCCGAACTGTACCAAATTTCGGAGCCTAATTTCACTATACCACACATTTCATCATTTGCAGCGTGCGTCATTTTTAATTTCTGTATAAATATTTAATAATACTCTCAACCATTTAAAAATGAAAAAAAAATGCTTCAATGCAAGATATTATTCATTATCATATCTGGATAGTACTCCAATATGTAATCTGACTATCAAAATTTTATTTCCCGTTACATTATGAAACTTACTAAGTGCTAGTTAGAGTAAAACCGCGTTTTCATTGAAACAGCTTCTTATAACAGTTCTTCTTGCTACAGTAAGGATACCCCGTCCGTCATTTCATGTATGAATACAATGAATGTAATGATCACATATAAAGTGCAAATCAATTTTTGTTCATGCCTTAGTTACATAAAGAAGACGACATGACAGTATTTCTCGAACTTTGCATCAGCATTATAACATGTGACATTTTTACGGATAAATTTTTGTTATGAATTAGTGAGATATCGGAAGTTTAAGCTAAGCTAAATCCACTTCGTGTTCCGGTCATGCTGTCTAAATAATATATTTCGGAAACTGATCATAATGGTTTTTGTAGTTTTATCTAGATTTACTGTTACTACATAGTATTACAAAGCTAAAGTAAGATCAAGAAAATAAGATAACTGTTTCATGCACGCTGTCTAAAAGTCTTTTAACTGTGTGACGAATGAAACTTGGCACTCACTCACCCTCACTAGAATCCACAATTTTTGTTTTAAATCCAAATCGCCAAAATTGAGGCATGCGGGGAGAAATAAGATGCATTTTTATTGGACACGGCAGTGTGACGTCACGGGCGGATGCCAAATTTGGGGAAACCTTGTATGGCCGCGGCTGGGAGCTCGTCCCACGCTTATGCAGTATTGCTTTGTTAACGAAGATGCTTTTATCAAATTCAACATCGTTTATTCAATTAAGGCTGCTACAAGTTCTTATGAAAGTCATTATGCTACAATGTGCGGTCTCTAATGAGGGTGCTTTGCACTTGGAAGGTTATTTTTCTGATCTCTCAACAAAGTGCTGTCTAGCTTTCAATTACATTAATGTGTTGGTATAGTGTGTGTGTTAGCATTAGTAATGTACCTTGATTCTGGTCCGCGCGGCGAACTTGGACACTTTGGAGAGCGTGCTGAGCGCCAGGTCGCTCGTGTCGATCTCGAGCTGGTGCGACTCCAGGCACGCTAGGAATTTGTCCTGTACAGTTTATACCTCCTATAGATTCAGTCTATAATGTAATTGTTAAAAAAAAAACATTTCATTTATTGCCAGATACGTTTATGCAACGCTTAATAAAAATGCCTTTGGAAGTGACAGCAGAGTATAATTTGACTGTTTTGCTTTTTTAGTTACTCTCTTTTTTTCGTCGTCTGAAGGGTTCTTATTCGACTTCATTACATAATCACCAAAAATTGAATTGAAGACTTCGTTACGACTAGCTGTGTTAACTGAGGTCCGTCCATAGTACAAATAGGTATCACAGCGAATGGCGCTACCAACAACTGCGACCTCGGCAGTATGTTGTCGGAGCATAATAAAGATTCACTGATGCCAAGTTAATAAATATCAAAAACGAATAACCATGTGAAGCGCTAGCAATATTAAAAAATATTCATGATTATTGCGAATAAACGGTATAAAGGGAGTGTACTGACCGCATCGGCCTTGCAGACAGTGTTGGCCATCTGTCGACAGAGTTGCCGCAGGAAGTGCGACTTGTCCACCGCTTCGTCCGTTATCATGAACGAATAGAGCTTCTCTTTTAACTCTTGGTTGCTTCGGCACATTAGAGCGAACACGTTGTGGCAGTCTGCAATAACGAGAGGTAGGTAATAGAGGTGACAAGGTGGTAAAGTAAAGGAAATTATATTTAGTCTGTCAGTTAGATTATCAAAAATCGTCAAGTATTTTGTCTTTGGACAATTAACCGAAAAATGACAAAGATACAGCGCGTAAAGTCGGGGAGTTCGGACTCGTGACGTCACTTTTAAGCAAAAATTGTACCAAAAATGACGTCATGCGAAATTTCAAATCAATATATCTTAGCAATGTTTTCATTATGTGAAAAAAGAAAAAAAATGTGTCCAATTTTTTTTTTAATCTAGCAAGAAAACATAAGTTAGTCGTCATCCCTATTTTATTGAAAATACGATGGATCTCCGAAGGAAGACGAAGAGAACTAGAAGGTTAAATGAATATCCTTGTGGAGTGTTAGCTATGCCGGCACTTACTTGGCTTACTCGTGTTTGCTATTTGTAAACTTAATATCAGTCTGTCCTTTTTATTCCTTTTTTAAGCATAAGGACAGACAGTTGTTAAGTCTACAAATAGCAAAAACGAATAGGCTTGTGAAGAGTTAGCATTACTCATATCTCAAATATCAATCTTGTGTGAAAGTTCGCTCGAAAGTAGCAAATGCAAACTTGCATAACTAGTATTTCGATTTTGTTTGCGAAGAAGTTTGCATTTGCTCCAAAATTCGGTAGACTGCAAAAAAATATCAGAATTAAGACTTTCTGACACTTAGGCCCACTTGCACGTAAATCTAGAGATAACAAAATAACTTAAACTCAAAGTTAATATAACATTCTCTTAACTTATCTTGCACAAACAGACAATAATCCAGGGTTTACTAACTCAATAAATAGAGACAATGATGAATGACATAAGTATTGTTCTCCCTTTCACACAACATGTTAGTATCCGTGCGGTGACGGAGAAAGAATACAACTCACCGCCCCTTCTCTTCCCGTGGGTGTCGTAAGAGGCGATAAAGGGATATCGGAGCTTCCATCCGCTCTGCTGGTGGTAGGGTGCCTAACACCCGCTTGGTTTGTTACCACCGTGCGCATGGTGAAAAACCCGTGAAGTGCTTCTCGCGCGTTTCGGGGTCAGCCAGCGTACAACCAGGGCTCGAGTGGAGGTTGTCGCGACGGATTCGGTCCAGGGCTAGGCATCCGTGGAACCGATGCCGGGAGGACTGCATCGACCCGCCGGCCAGGGAGACCCGTAGAAACGGCTGTCCCGCTGGCCGCCCGTGGCACAGTACAGGGGCCCGAGAGTTCCTAACCAGTTCCCGAGGCTGCCCCATCATGTCACGCATAATCTCGGGGTGCGTGCCGGTTGGTGACCGGGGCGTGGGGTCCCGGTGGCCACTTCCGGGGGGGTGCGGGGGCCCTTCCGTCCGGCGGGTCGGCGTATATCCTCTGCAGGCAATCATTCGGGGAAACATGTCTCCCTAATTTGCCCGGTCTTGTCGCGACAACGTCCACTCGTTTCACGTCTCTTTTTCACTTCCATAATGGCAGCTCCTAAAACAAAGTTTGGACGTACAGCGGTGCACACCCCCACGCCTTCAACGCTGTTTGAGGTCGAGTTCTGCAACATACGCGGACTCCACTCTAACCTCAACGCTGTCCACCACCATCTTGAGACAGCACGGCCAGCATTGTTGTTCCTGACGGAGACACAAATACTTCCGCCTGCTGACACAGGCTACCTTAATTATCCCGGCTACATGCTTGAAGAGTCCTTCAAAGCGAAAGCCGGTGTATGCCTGTATGTTCGGGCGGATGTTTGCTGTCGCCGTCTCCGCTGCTTGGAAGATCCCTCCTTCTCCATGCTGGGGATACACGTCGACTCTGGCCCCCTGGCCAGAGTTTACGTGTGTCTCTACAGATCCCACACCGGCGATGCTGAGACAACTCGACTTTTTGAGCACCTTAGTCGGGCAGCAGATGACGCGCACGAACAATATCCCAATGCAGAATTGGTGTTTTTGGGGGACTTTAATGCTCACCACAATTTGTGGTTAAGTTCTTCTCGGCCAGTGCCGTTGCCATTACTGAGGAGATTATAATTTGTATGGAATACTATATTCCTCATTCTGATCTCATCAGTAAGGGCACACGTAACCTCTGGTTCAATCACGACTGTGCTGAAGCTGCTTCGCGTAAGCAAGCGGCATATCGTGCTTGGATCAGAGGCCGCGCTGTCATGGATCCCGAGGTCGATTCACTCAAAGCAGCCTACAATTTTGCTTCCAAGTAAGAAGGCTTACATCAGAGCGGATGCCCAGCGCGTTGCACGTGTTGGCCAGGAACTTATGACGCATCCTACGGGCTCCCGTAGCTACTGGCGTCTGGCCAAAGCCGTGCAAAAAAACTTCTGCGAGCTCTCGCTGCCACCTCTGAGATGCCCAGACGGAACACTAGCCCATAAGCCGCAGGAGAAAGCCGATTTACTGGCAAAACTCTTTGCGGCTAACTCCCGAATCGATGATTGCAATGCACTGCCACCATCATTACCTCACTGTGGCACAACGATGCCTGATATTAAAATCAGGCAGCGCGAGGTTCGTGCCGAATTGCAATCACTCGACGTCCGGAAAGCTAGTGGACCTGACGGCATCCCAGCAGTAGTACTTAAAAAATGTGCAGCGGAGTTGTCTCCCGTGCTCACGCGCTTGTACCAATGCTCGTATTCTTTGGGGCGTGTGCCGGAGACTTGGAGAGATGCTAATGTGCAACCGGTGCCCAAAAAGGGGATCGCTCAGACCCGGCAAACTACCGGCCAATAGCAGTCACCTCAGTTTTATGTAAAGTTCTAGAAAAGGTCCTTAATAACCATCTGACCCGCTACCTAGAGGATCACTCCCTGATTAATGATCGTCAATATGGTTTAAGACCGAAACGATCGACGGGTGATCTTCTAGCGTACTTAACTCATATCTGGGGTGAGGCTATCGACAAGCGTGGCGAGTCGTTGGCTATCAGCCTTGACATTGCCAAGGCGTTCGACAGGGTATGGCACAAAAGCCTTCTCTTCAAGCTTTCGGCATACGGTCTGCCAGCCCAGTTCTGTTCTTGGGTAGCTGTCTTCCTGCATGAGCGTAGAATTCCTGTCCTTACGGATGGTAGCAGTTCGCGGTTCATGTCTGTGAATGCCGGCGTTCCCCAGGGCTCCGTCCTATCCCCCACTCTCTTTCTGCTGCATATCAATGACTTAATTCCTCTTGGGAATATTCATTGCTATGCAGACGATAGTACAGTGCATGCGGGGTATCTCGGACAAGCAGCGGCTGGGCTGGCGGTAACCAAAGAGAAACGGGAGAATCTTGTCATTGAACTCAATCAGGCTTTGGACCACATTTCCGAATGGGGTACCAGGAACTTGGTTGAGTTCAATGCCAAGAAAACTCAGGCTTGCGCTTTCACGGCAAAAACATCGCCATTCCTTCCCCTTCTCTCTCTTCAGGGCACAACACTACCGCTACAGAGCAATATTTCCATGCTCGGTATGGAAGTTCGCTCAGACCTGAATCCAAAGAACTACATCGAAACCGTGATCAAAACAGCTTCACGCAAACTCGGAGTCCTGAACAAGGTGCGGCGTTTTTTCACGCCCGATCAACTGTGCTTGTTGTACAAAACGCAAGTGCGGTCCTGCGTGGAATATTGCTCGCACCTCTAGGATGGCTCCGCCAAGTACTTGCTCGATGCTTTGGATAGGTTACAGCAGCGCGCGATCCGCATCATAGGCGATGAGGAGGTGACTAAACACCTTGAGCCACTTCAATTACGCCGTGACGTGGCGTCACTAAGCGCGTTCTATCGTCTGTACCACGGCGAGTGTTCTGAGGAGTTATTCTCTCTTATCCCACCTTCTCCTTTCCTTTAGAGGACCACGCGCGCTAGCCTACGTTGTCATCGTCGAACTGTGGCCACAATTCCAACGCGTACAAAGAAATTTGGTGACTCGTTTCTTTGTCGCACTATCCGTAAATGGAATGCTCTGCCCGCTCACGTATTCCCTCCCTCTTACAACCTGGGATGCCTTAAAAGAGGAGTGAAGAAGCAACATGCAGGCCGGCAGGGTGAAGATGGCTGGTGTGGCAGGTAAAACTGCTGTATCAGCTATCTTCACGTCTGGACTTCACCTTCACTTAACATCAGGTGGGGTGGAGTCATTTGTCGGACCTATCTATAAAAAAAAAAAAAGTATCTTGCATATATCTCTTTCGTAATGTCAATTTTGAAAAGACGTGGTGTTTTAGGGCCTTCGTAGTTTTCGAAAAAAAAAATCAAAGGGCCTATTTTAAAACTAGGAATTCAAAAAAGTCATCTAGCTCCTCTATTATTCACAATTATTGTTTTAGTTTTAGTTAAAGGTTTATATATAGCTTTGTATTATACATCTTTTCACAAATTTTGAGCCTTCTAAAGCAAACCGTTTTATTTTTCGATTTCATTTTTTTTCTTAAGAATAACGGCGTATTCGGATAATATTTATACATGAAAATATTGAAGTTTGTTGTCCCTATGTAGTATTTTTAATGCAACCGAAAACCTCGTTATGTACGAATTATAAACAAAAACATTAATGAAACTACAAACTTCAGCGTCTCCAGAATCTTTGCATTCGCTTCATTTATGGCCGCCGTAAATTCGACCATGTGTCCGAATTTAGGAGGGAGCTAAAGTGGCTTCCTATTAGACTGCGTTGTGAGGAACATGCTCTCACTTTGCTATATAATGTGTTGTATGACCTTCGCACTCCCCCTTACCTTAAGGAACGTTTCAAATTTCTAGGTACGGACCACAACCGCATGTTGCGCTCCAAAAATGATAATTTGTTGGAGACCCTTTTAACTCGCTCAGAATACTATAGGGATTCCTTTACAGTTAAAGTGGCTCAACTTTGGAACAAGCTGCCGTCTGAAATCCGGAGTTCAAAGTCACTTCCCATATTTAAAAGTAGATTACATACTCTCCTTCTGCTGCGAACTTAGTCTACTTTAACATTACATATGTTGTTAGTATGTAGGTATATATTTATGTTCAATTATATATATTTATATGTGGTATGTGTGTGTGTGTATATATATATATATATATATATATATATATGTATATGTAAGTGTATGATAGACAATTACTTATATGTACGTATATTATATTAATTACGACTCTGCTGGCTTACTACATCTTCTTTTCCGTTTAGCTTACCTATACCGCGAAGGTTGTCCTTGTAGCGATAAGACCGCCTTTGCCCATATTATTGTTATTAATGTATTGTTTGTACCTATGTCCTTTTGTATGTGAGCAATAGTGTTTATTATTATTAAACATAATTCCGGTATTAGGGTTGTCACTTCCGGAACTGAGTATGTAAAAATAAAATGAGTTCCTATAATATACACACATCAAAAGTGTCTAGGGATCAAGCATTTTTATGCGGATTTCTTGAGATTGAGATGTGGCTTTGTAATAAATTTATGATTTTATAAATTTATATGGATCCTTTTTGGTGCATTTCATAATTTGAATCAGGAACTGTGAATCAAATTCGAGTAAAAGATGAAAATCAGCTGTCAATATTTTCCCTATAAAAACATACAACGCATTGAAGACATTATTAGTGCTACTGTTTCCCTACTACTGATTAAAACCAACGTTATTATGGAGCGGCGACGTCATTTAAGCAGGGAAGAAATGCTCAGAGCCGTGGGAATGATAGAAGCTGGTTCCCGGCAACGTACTGTGGCTTTAGCTCTGAATACAAGTCAGAGTGTTATCAGTCGACTTCGGACACGATACCGAAGCACTGGTACCGTGGCTGAGCGCCATGGAGGACGGTATCGCTGCACCACACGGAGACAAGACCGATACATTCAAATCTTAACTCGAAGAGCTCCAACAATAACCGCCATGATGTTAGCCGTGAGGCTTCATCACTCTTCAGGGAACTTAATTAGCGACCAAACAGTCAGAAACCGCTTGCATGAAGTGAACCTTCATTCCCGAAGACCGCTACGGGTACCATCTATAGCAATGCACAATCGTAGGATTCGATATCAATGGGCTCTTGAACACAGAAATTGGGCAGAAGAACAATGGCGTTTCGTGTGCTTTTCTGATGAGTCTCGTTTTGGTATGAGACCGGATACAAGACGTATACGACACTGGAGAACCCCTGGACGCCAACAGCGATTAAAATCCTGCTAGGAAGTCCATCCTTATAGTGGTGGAACCATCATGGTATGGGCGGGTATTTGGATCGGCGGAAGAACTGAGTTGATTTGGATCAGAGGCAAATGGCAAATTTCTTTATTAATGCAAAGGTGACTTGGTTTATCGTTACTGTGACAAACGAAAACACTTTATTTGATGAATCCTTAAAGAAAATTTTAATTAATATCAATCAGGAGAAAAGTTATTGCAAAAATATATGTTGATCCCTAGATACTTTTGATGTGTGTATGTTAATAAGCATTATTTTAACATATATTATATGACCTGTTTATTGTTATTGGAGAACAAAGAGAATATAACTTATACGTATGTAACTAATAAGACTTAAGATAGTTTTTATTACAAAATATTTATGTATTATAAGGATTTACCGACTCAAAATCGGCAGTGTTATTTGTTGTATATTGCATGAACAATTATACAATATTGTGGAGTGACGATGAAAATAATCTTTTTGCTACTACATTTGTTCCGCTGCAGCTCGTGTTAAATGAAAGGGATGTTGTTTGGTCTAATCCAGCTCCACTATCACATAGATACTGCACCTATTCATATTCAATATAGGAAGGAGAACAAAGAATTAATTCTAGCAGAAAAAGAATAAATTGAAAATCAAATATCTAATTTGCAACTGCAAGGCAAAACCTCACAAGGTCATAATATACCCGTAAGTTGTGAACTATTAGTTAGTTGAGCAGCTATTGACGGAAAAGACCTTAACATTTTATTAAATACGTTATCCCAAATGCGTTGCCCGTATTGTGGCTTAACATAGACCACCTTCAATAACTTGGACATGGCTTTTTCTAAGCCATTAAATCAAGAGCTATTGATTAACGGCTTAAGTTCGCTTAATTTTTGGATACGAGTGCTAGAATTTCTCTTACGACTTGGCTTTAAAATGGATGTAAAAAAATGGCGTATCTCACACAATTCTATAGATTATGTTAAAGTTGAAGAGCGCAAAAAAAATATTCAAAATGAAGTGAGAAAGCAGATGGGTTTACTGGTCGACGTAGTGCGCCCAATTCGGGTACAACAAATACAGCACGAATGGCTTTGTCAGACAAGTTCCGCCAAAAATTTTCCCAAATCCTTTGGTTCGAACAATGGCTGTTGGATGATCTCCACACATTATGTATTGTTTTGTCTAGTAATCATGCAATTGATTCCGACCGGTTTAGGGATTTTTGTAAAAATCTGGCTTATAAGTATGTCGCTACCTATAATTGGTGTCCGATGACCGCCACTATGCCACTATACCTATAAGGATGCTTTCGAAGCAGGCTGCCGAAACCAGAAATAAATATTGGCGGAACGATAGGGAGCACCATACCCGAAAAATAAGCCGTGAATTTGTTTAATAGAGCGCTGGAAACATCGGACCCTGTTAACAAACATTCGAATGCAAGAGAGAAAAAATAATCAAAACTTGACACCATTACCATCTGCAGTTCTTTATTAAAAGTGACAGATCCAAGTGACGCAGTAAGGGATATTGACTTTGAGGACTAAGTCGATTCTTTCGTTATAAATACAGAAATAAATGATTCATTGTAAATATTTATTTATGAGAAGTAATTTATATTTCAATTTCATAATTAAATGGCCGGAACGTCAACTGTGAAAAAAAAGTTTTTAGCTCATAACTTCTACAAAACGCGGTATTCTGTTGCAAAAAAATACTGTATATAGGGACAACAAAGCTCGATATTTTAGTGAATAAAATTCATCCGAATACGCCGTTATACTAAAGACAAAAATATAAATGAAAACTTGAAAAATAAAACATATCGTCTATACGATTTGCTTTAGAAGGCTCAAATTTTGTGGGAAAATCTATTGTACAAAGCCACAAAAAAACATGTTGAATAGAAGAGTAACATTGTTTTTTTGAAAATTCCGGATCAAAAAAGGGTTAACTTTAAAAATGTTTTTCTTAAAAACAACATATCGTAGAAATTTTCCAGAATTTTTTCGTGCTTATAATAGCTTAATCTATAGAAATTTGGGATAAAAAGGGCATGTCACAAAATCGAGGTTCTTAAAACACTGTCGCGACAGAAACACAACATAACCTAAAAGTAGTGTTATTTTACTGTGGTTTTCTGTAGGGCGAAGGTTACTACCCCAGACGGACGCTCCAATTCAAAGGGTAAATCCGCTAAGCCCAACCTTTCTTAACGATATAATCGTAGTATGGCTAATCAATAGTTGAAAGTAAATAATATCCCACCTTCAGCTTCCCTGATGTCGACGACCCTTTTGACGGTGCTGAGCGGCATCAGCGATATGTGGCGGTAGGGTTTGCTCGACCCTATCCTCATTGTACTCGTGCCGTTTGTGGGACTTTTGCTGTTGAAAACCTGATCAAAAATGTACATTAATCAATAAAGATAACACGTTGATTTTCAATAAAAATTAAGAAATTTGCAAAATCCTGTCTGAAACTTGGACCGAGGGGATATTTTTCTAATAAATTTTTCTTTATATTTACACAATCTCAATAAAGATATAAAAAAATATCATAAACAGGAGTAATATTTAGATCTTTCCTAATAGTGGCAGATAGCCAACTGTTCTGCAATCATAAACTTGTTTGCCAAAAATTATGTAAACAAAAATGCCACGTATTTAAGTGTGCACTTAACGCACGTGTAAAGATAGTAAAATAATGTACGAGTAAATATATCGCAGTATGTTAAACAGGCAGAAACGCCATAACGCATCCTGTCTCTCTGCCCAATGCATATTGGTAGGTTATTGTAGTTTATAGCATACTAGCTGTGCCCCGCGGTTTATTAGGGATATTTTCCCACAGTAAAACGTAGCCTATGTGTTAATCCAGGAAGTCAGCTAACTCCATACCAAATTTTATTAAAATCGCTCCAGCCGTCCAGACGTGAAGTAACAAACATACACACTCACAAACTTTCGCCTTTATAATATTAGTGTGATTGGTAGGTGACTGTAGTATATAGCATATTGCTAGGTAATTAACTAGGGGGACCGCGGTCGTCATAGTGCGTGTCAGGTGACGGTGCAGGAGTATTGCCTAGTTTTAGTGGCCCTGTTCAGGGCGTAGGTAGGGCACTGTTCACTTCAGCGAGCTCCAGGGCTGACTGAAGGGGACAGGGAGGAGTCCCACATACCTTCTTCTCGCCCCCACAGTGGTTGAAGGATGCCTAAGGTATTTTCCAGACAAAAAGGTAATTAAGAGCAAGCGCACATTGAGCCACTATAGGTAGACCGCTGAACTGAGTCCGCGCCTGCGGGGTAAAGTGTGTTTGGGGGAGGACGATGAAGGGGCCGTGAGAGGTGCGGGCCCTTGTATTGTTGACAAGAATGTACAGTGGGGGTCACGCGCGCGTGAACACTTCAAAAAATCTTTCCTGTGCAAGCGCTAGACGGGTGATTTTACGGGCCCATCCTGATTGGTCGTAGTATTTTACTATAACCAATTAGCATAGCGCTGCACTGGGTGCATTTATGAATGATGCGAGCGAGAGTAAATATTATGCGTGACGTTGCTCTATGCCGCTACACAGCTACAGCCAGCGGTTTGGCAACATCTCGGGATTTCTGTGATGCGCGTGCGATATCGGGACCAAATAAAGAAATAATAAAACAACAACAATAATCATACGCGTAATTTTTACATTTGGTTTCGATTTTTCTCATATGTCATATTTTTAAAGTAAACCTATAACCTTTTTACCCCCAAATAGAATGAGCTTAATAATTATTTCTTTTATTTTTATTATGCTCTTGTAAAAATAGGTACTAGCTTTCCGTCAGCGGCTTCGCACGCGCAGAACAAAACTTTGATCCTACATTGTAACCCCTCAGAGTATAAATTAGAAAATACTACCATTTTCTATTTTTTTAGGTAATTAGAAGCCTAACTATTACCAACTCCGATATTAACAACTTTAAAAATTTTAATTTATACACATTTATCCCCATTTTAAGAAGTTTCCTAAAATCCTTTTTAGGAAACGACTCCTAATCATTAATTACTTTCGTGTAAAATTTCACCTTCATATTTTAGTAGTTTTCGAGATTTGTCAGTGAATACATACTCAAGTAGTTTCGGTTATATATACCTATCTAAAGATATATGCGTTAGCATCTAATAGTCAGTGATATATATTTTGTTATTTTTTTAATACAAGGCGCAGAAAATTTCCTCTCCCCAGCCAGATATTTAAGTGTGAGTGGGGACTAGTGAAATCTGAAGATAACTGATGCGATAAAAAAGTGTGCCGCTCCAGCCATTCTCACCTTGCTGGCCTGAACCCAATCCCCGTCCCCGTGGACCTTTTTCACCAACAGAAACACAACACCAAAAGGTAGGAAGTATTATTTTACTGTGGTCTTCTGCAAGAAAAAGGTTACTTTTCCAGACGGGCGCTCCAATTCCACCGAGAAATCCGCTATGCTCTATCTCTTTGAAAATAAATATAATATCGTTAATGATAGTTTTTATAGAATATAATTTTAATTATCCTCATATTACAGATATTACACATTTACAGATACAAATTAAAAAAAACTCAGGGCTAACCAGGACCCTGCCTCAGCATTAGCTGATGCGACATTGTGTCGTGTATATATTAAGTATTTACTTTTACCAGCGTCTATTTTACCTTTAAAAGACGTAGGGCATTTGGAGCGCGCGTTATACTTGATTAATCACAAACCCCTTTCTAAGCAATGAGCAAAATTCAATTTGTGAGACCCTTAGGTAGCGCTGAATCGCTGCCGTACTCAAAGACGCCAATTAACTTTTAATTTAAATTGGATCGACCATGTCTTATTTTTTCTTGGGGGTGTCTTAGGGGATGGGAGGAAATCTCGGCATTTCTTACGTAAGATCACAAAAATGCATAAAGTTAAAATTATCCTTAAAAAAGGCTACCGCGCGAGTCCGAGGTTCGCTCGAATGCTTATAGGTTAACGATTCCCATTTCCATGGCAACGGACCCGCACCACCTGCTACTGTGATAAAAGGCATAAAGGTAAAGATGAATGATTAAAACCAAAGTTTATTACTATCAAAACATTTCTAAAAATTGTTTCTTTGAAAAACAAACCAAACGCGTATCCTTTACATTTTTTACGTTATAAATATTAAACAGGGGGGAGAGGGTCAGCCTATTCTTACTTTTTCTATCAATGTGCGCTTGCTCTAAATAAGTAGTTACAGTAAAACTCACTTTGGATCTTTTCTTGCAGACTTCCATGGTGTCTGTAAAGAGGAACAGCACTAGATGGTCGCCACGGCCGGACAGTTCCTTGGACAGCTCCACCACCTCGCAGCGTGCGACGAACGTGCGGTGCGACGACACCAGGTGAGGCTGTTAACCATTCATACGATTATGTACTCTATTGCAATATGTGTATGGTATAATTAAGGTCTCGGGCAGTATCTTGGACTGTGTCAGCACCTCGCAGCGCGCCACGAACATGCGGTTGGACGACACCAGGTGAGGCTGTTAACCATTCATACGATTATGTACTCTATTGCAATATGTGTATGGTTTAATCAAGGTCCCTGACAGTACCTTGGACTGTGTCAGCACCTCGCAGCGCACTACGAATGTGCGGTACGACGGCACCAGGTGAGGCTGTTAACCATTCATACGATAATGGCATCATCATCAGCCTATTAATGTCTTCACTGCTGGGGAACAGGCCATTTTTCTCGTTTATGGATTGACCCACCATGCAGGCCCAGTGCGGATTAGTGGGTGCTAACAACTGCAGGTGCCGCCGAGACCAACGACTTAACGTACCTCCCGAAGCACGAATGAGCTCTATAGAAAATTGTTGGTCATCCATCCAATGACCGACCAGTGCTAAAGTTGCTTAAGTTAAACGATCGCAGACGAATGCGCTAACCACTTGCGCCATCAAAGCTCCTAAATTGATACGACACGATTATGTACTCTATTGTATTTAAGTTATCCTCGCAGCGGCCTGACATCCATTACCGGTGAGGATATTACCCGTTCAAATAAATAGGCTATTTGACAGTATAAAAAATAATGTACCAATCTTAGGTATCTGTATTTAATATGAATAATGGCAATGATTTACTATTCTGAAAGAACAAATAATTAATAACTTTTCTATAAAATCATTAAAAAGAAATGATTTTTTTGCTCCATAGTCATGTGACCGAAAACGCCTGCGATTGGCCAAGACTAAAATGACGTCACACGCTAGTGAGACGCCATAATGTCCAAAGAAAAAGTTTTCGCGGCAACTTGAAAATGGAATGTTCAATTTAGTTTTTTTTTACTGAATTACACAACAGAATTAAAAATATTCACTTTCTATGGACTCCATAAATATTTGTAAATGACGTGAGATCGTTTTCTAAAACTTATCAAATACCCTATTATGAACTCTATTAAAATAAATTTAACATCGCCACGAGGCTGCCGGTAAACGTAAGCAAATATATATTCTATTGTAATGAAGTTAAGGTCTCGAATATGAACTTTGTTGTATTAAAACTACAGTTGCAATATCAAAACTAATTGAATCTGTTTTTTTTTTTTAAAACAAAAATTTAGAATTAACCGCAATTTTGTGAAATTATCACGGACTAACAACAGTGATCGACGGGAGGCGTAAAGTGTGAGTTCTAAATAAATTCATACTGATTGTAAATGAATCTTATAGCAAACAAGCTAAAACTCAGTCAGCCGAAAATTATTTTTGACGTACCGAATCCTGTAAAGGACAAAAAGGTGTTTTGATATAATATGGTATAAAACTAACCGGACACTGGTCGATGTCGTTGTAAATGTCGAACATCTGCAGCTGCCCTTCGGTTTTACGTTTGTCTTCGTTGATGTGAGACATCACCTCCCTCAGTCCCGCCAGTGCGGAAACTAGCGCCGCATGGTCGGGATTGTTCTTGTGCGTGTGCTTCAATATGTCTATAGATTCAATATGAAACAGAAGAAGTCAATATTATAATTTTTCTTTTTTAAGCATGTAACTGCTTGATGTTTAAATCTAAAGAAAATATAACTAGAAAAAAATCCAAAAAGTTATTATATATTATATTATCAGCAACGAATTAGAAATGATATGGAATACGAACTGCCCTTAAAACTGGGTTCCACGCAAACTGGGTGGGCAGAAAAAAAGCGATCAACACACCAGTCATGAGATTGGTTGAAATTTCCGTTTGACATTGGTGTCGATTCCGGCGTGATTCTCTAAACCTAAAACTAAATTTAACATCAGTCTCTCTTTTTCATTCGGTAAAGAGAATGACAAGGATACACTGTTGTCAAATTTAGGTTTAGGTTTAGAGAATCATGCCAGAATTGACACCACTATCTCACTCAATAAATAGATAGATTTATTTCAATATTTGATTTGTCTAATTATTTCGTCTGTGTGCGTGTCGCGTTATTATTGCAGTTTGATTTATGACATTGGAACCATGTTTTAGCGGCCTTTGTTAGGGAGTAATGCTTACATATCATTTCTAATTCGTTAATTATCAGCTTATTAAAGTCCCTACTGCTTTCTTGGTCACCCATAGTTGCTTAACTTCTTCTATCGCAGAACGATAACAACTGCGCTATCGAGCTACATCAAATTCGCTAAAAGCGTGCGTTACAACGTTTCGCCAGTACTGTGCTTTTAGTAGGGTCATAGATCTGTAAATTTTACATCTTCTTTAATATTCCCTCCTAGGCCACATGCCTTTCTTAACGATGGAATGGAAATGAATGAATGGAAGGAGAATGGGCCATGAAAGTGCATATTGGTGGGAGTTAACAACTGCAGATATAGCTGGGACCGACGGCTTATTGTGCCATCCGAAGCCAAGTTGTTTCCAAGATCGCAGACCGTATGCGCTAACTTGAGCTATCAAACCCTATCCATAATGTTATATTGGAAATCATAATTGATAATAAAAAACTGTGCTCAGAACAAAATAGCAAAAAGGTTCCTTTACAACTCTCGTCAAAGGAGAACAGAATAAGAAATGGTGACGCAACCCATTCGATCTATTTCATACGTCCTGTCATGAATAATGTGCGAAAGTTCCTAACCAACTGCCTTGGGTTATCATTTTTGATTCCAAGTTTACATATGCAACAATATTAAGTTCTAAATATACTAACCATCCAATAATAAACTTATACTAGGTAGACGCTGCACGGGTCTTATTAGGAGCTCTTGTAAACTTTGTCGGCCACATTCTGGTTTGGTCTGACAGATTTTCAGGAATGCATGAAATCTGCAAACAATATTTATTACTTTATTTATTATTATACTCTTTATAGCATCAAATAGTTTAAGAAACTATTGATGCAATAAAGCCGGATCTCCAGCAAAAGTTTTTTGAAACTTTGAACAAAACACATACACCAAACTTTATTTCTGAAACATGTTTCTCTACACACGCCGTCTACTGCTCACGTGGCTGTCGTACACAAAATAGAAAATTGAGTTCAAAAACTATGATCCAGGAGCAACAAATGTCAAATATGACTAAAGTTTCTTTTATCATCTCAAAATTGAAACGTCAGAGTGAGAGTGCCCCCGCTAGCGAGATGTCAAAAAATGCCCGATGAATCAAATACCCTGCACCTCGACCCGTTGTGTACGTGTTTTCCATGAGGCTCGGAAAGCAAAAACATTGTTGATGCTAACAAATAAGTGTGGTGAAACAAAGTTTTTGTAGACGATTTTGTAGAATGTTGATGTGCATTTGTTGATTATGTAGGGCAAAACACGCGCTAGAGACCTTCACCTTAAAAAAGAAAACGAATATCCCCAACGCTAACAACGCGCAATAAATATGTCCCTTTTTGTGTAGTAAATAGTCTTATTTTACCATTTTCATACTGTAAAGTGCGTCCACGCGACCTCGCATAGTGTGATAAACCCACATTCGTGTTTTAATACCCCTTTATTACAACAGTTGCATAAATAACTATTAGGTGCATACAATAAGCAGTTGTAACGTTCTTATAATAAGAAAACCAAAGTTCTTTTGGTTAAAAGCGTTTTACTTTCACAAGTAAACACTATAAAATAGAGAGCGTAACAATCGTCAATAGGTAGTGGCTTCGTACGGCTAACTGACTACTAAAATGGTGGTGTCGCGGGAGGGGGCCGCGCGGAGCGCGGTCCGACTCCGGCGCATCGGCGGGAAGCGCTCTCATTGGTTGAGGGGCGCGCGGAACACGGTCTGATGCGTGCGCTTCGGCGGGAAGCGCCCCGATTGGTTGTGGCCGTGTCAGTGCAGGCAACACAATGGACGCGCATCGCGGACGTTCAGCCAACATCGCGTAGGAAAACGAGAGATGCGCGCTACACAGTTTAATATTTATATACACAGTCAGGTCATAAGTATTGTCACAGTAAAAACTTTTCTTTAAGAATGCTGGCCATAAAATAGTTTATTAAATTCGAATTTCGAATTGTTCATGAAAATAAAAATGTATACCTTTTAGAATTTTATTGATTTTTAAATATGGAGTGGACGCTTAAGGAAGACCGAGTTGCAGTTATTGCGTTGCATCGTTGCGGTTACGCGCCAATTCAAATTTTTGACATACTGAAAATTTTGAATATATCCAAAAGATTCGTTTATCGTACCATCAAACGATACAATGAAGACTCTATAGTCCATTCGCTTTGGCGTGAGACAAAATGTAAACAAACCATAAAATGGATACTTTTTAAGGTCACGTTTGACAAAAGTAAAGATTAAATACTATATACATAGGAAATGCAGCGACAATTTAAGTTAATTATTTTAAAACCTGTCACATACATATGAATAAAAAAATAAAATATTTTACATTATATTCAACGTACATTCACATCATAAATTCGTATATTTTTAATTTGCTGGTAAAAGTATTTTAACAACTTAAGTTGACATGGAAAAAGACCTAAAAACACAATCATTCCCAAACTTAATACGACAAAATTTAAGAGTGGACATGATATAAGTCTTTTACGTTGAAGTGTTGTGTTTTGTAATCGGTTGGTTTATGTCAGCCATCTTTACTCTCGCGATCAACCTGTTGACGTGAGCGTGCATATTCAATCTTATTTGTTAAATTCTTGTTATTTCCTTGTTGAGTTTGATGTTATTTTATTTACTGTTAAGTTTGAAGTTGTTTGTGATTGTTTTCTTGTTGAATTGACGTTTTCGTAGCCATAGTTAAAAGTGGCGAACCGGGACCAAGCAGCTCTTGTACATTTTTTTCGCCGAAGAAAAAGCGTACAAAGAGTGGTCCATTGCGCTCCAACGAAAAGGAGCTCGTGATAAATGTTTTTAAACATGTTGAAGAAACCTGGCCAAAAGATTCCTATCCATATAAAAGTGATATAATCAATAAATCCGCCGAAATACTGGGCATATCACGAGCTACTATTTACCGGTTGGTGAAGGAAAAGAAAAGTACTGGCCGTATCTCATCACCTCCGCCTCCACCATTTAAAATATCTTTGATGGATACATTGGACGATATGGATAAGGCTGCGATACGCCGCAAAGTCCACACATTTTTTTTTTTAATAAGGAGATGCCCACCGTTGACATAGTATTGCATGCTGTGAATACAGATGAAACTTTGCCCAACTTTAAGAGGACCTCTTATTTCAAGTTGATGAAATCATTACAATTTAAATATGCGAAAAGAAGCCAAAAGAGTAGGCTTTTTGAAAGAGATGACATTGTTTTATGGCACATCAAATATTTAAATAATTGCAAAGCTCAGGAGCGAAGGTAGAACTATTTATTACACTGACGAAACTGGGCTAAATGAAGATTAGTAAAATACAATATTAAACTACTTTATCCTGTGGGAATTTTACTTTTGTACTCATAAACTGATATACTAAATTCATATTTTTTATTGTTTATCATCACAGTACTATAATATTTTAATTTCTATGCACATAATTTTATTATAATATTTTTATAAATATTGAATGATACTTATTATTTTCATACCATGTCTTTAACATATGAAAATGTTACTCAAGTATGTTGTGTCATGTTACCAATTCTATTAAATTATCATTGTTTTTATTTATCATAAGTTGTCAATGAACTTATATTTGTTACAGGACACACTATGAACAAAATTTGGCAAGATCATACAATTAAAACTGTGAAAGAAGCTCATCAAGAGGGATTGTCAATACGATTGAAAACCGTAAGTGGAAAAGGGAAGCGTCTGATTGCACTGCATATGAGCACAAGTCAAGGGTTATGTTGGTAAAAATAATAAAACATTTAAGATGACTGAAATTAAAAATCTATTAGCCGATGCCTTACAATCAATCACAGCTGAATCGTGGAAACGGTTCATTGACCATGTCATAAAAGAAGAGCAGAAAATGCTAAAATTGGATGGTATTGTTGATGATGTTGTGGATAAATTTATTACTAAAGTTGGTTTCAGTTCATCCAGTGAGTCGTCAGACAGTGAATAAATATTATTTGCAAAGTATTATGCTGGTTTCATTTGAAATACATATTCTTTTATTATATTTATCATCAAGACAGAATTTATTATAATTTTAATATAGGTTACATAAATTATACCTAATCATTGACTAGTAGGTACTTTCTAACATTATAAAAGTTTTAGAACCTCAGATTCTTTGTTTACATTTTGTCTCAAGCCAAAGTGAATAGACTATAGTGTAGATGACAGGTCATTAAGTGGTCGCCCTCGGTCTGTTAGGACTCCAGCAGTGATAAAAGCTGTGGAGGCGCGAATTCAAAGAAATCCCAAACGTAAGCAGAAACTGTTGGCCCTTCAGATGGGGTTAAGCAGAACCACGGTGAAAAGGGTGTTAAATGAAGACTAAGGGCTTCGGGGATATCGAGGAAAAACAGGACATTATTTGAATGCTCGTCTAATGGACCTGAGACTGAAGAGATGCCGCGCTTTGTTGAAGCGGTACGCGGGAAAAAAATATCCGGAAATTCTTTTTTCGGATGAAAAAAATGTTTACCATAGAAGAGAGCTACAATAAACAAAATGATAAGGTGTACGCACACAGTAGTGAAGAAGCGAGCAACCGTATTCCGCGTGTCCAACGAGGTCATTTCCATCCTCGCTCATGGTATGGTTGGGAGTTTCTTATTGGGGCTTAACAGAGGTACATTTTTGTGAGAAAGGTGTAAAAACGAATGCAGTTGTGTATCAAAATACAGTCCTGACGAACCTTGTGGAACCTGTTTCTCATACCATGTTCAATAACAGGCACTGGGTATTCCAACAACATTCGGCGCCAGCTCATAGAGCGAAGAGCACACAAGACTGCCTGGCGGCGCGTGAAATCGACTTCATCCGGCACAAACACTGGCCCTCCTCCAGTCCCGATTTGAGTCCCGTTAGATTACAAGATATGGCAACACTTGGAGGAAAAGGCGTGCTCAAAGCCTCATCCCAATTTGGAGTCACTCAAGACATCCTTGATTAGGGCAGCCGCCGATATTGACATGGACCTCGTTCGTGCTGCGATAGACGACTGGCCGCGCAGATTGAAGGCCTATATTCAAAATCACGGAGGTCATTTTGAATAAACTTTATTGTCACAAGAATCTATGTTTTGTTAAGTTCATTTTGGTATATAAATGGTTACATAATGAATAAAATTATTTTATATTAAACATGTGACAGAATTTATGCCCTGACAAGGTATATAAAAATCAATTGCTATTCGTTAGGCCCGCTAAAACTCGAGAACGGCTGAACGGATTTATCTTATCTTGGTCTTGAAATGTTCGTGGAGGTCTAGGGAAGGTTTAAAGGGTGAGAAAAATTCGAATTATATCTACACTACAGCTCTACACCGAGGGCGGGCCACTAGTCTAAAATAAAAATTTTAAATTCGAGTTTATATAATCACCTAGGGTTCTCACGGTCGCACTGCTGCAGCATCTCCTTGGTATTCTCGAAGAAGTTGATGAAGGGCGGGTACGCTTTGAGCATGTCGGGCGTGTACTTGAGCACCAGTCGCCCTATGCTCACCTCTTCGCTCCAGTTCGCTTGAGCGTAGCGTAGTTCTTCTAACATACGCCTGTTGGAAATAATATAAAAGTGAATAGACAAAGTAATTGAGTTTATTTAGGTATAAACAAAAGACAGTAAAAAAAGGGAAAAATTTGGAAAACATGCGCCTATAACATTGACATATAAAAACAAGTACAATAAAAGCTCCTTATTCGCGGGGTATATGTTCCAGAAATATGCCGCGAATACAGAAACCTTGAACATGGAGTGGTAATTTATATGAAATTATAGGGGATACGTTCCAAGGCGGCAAAAAAACAATATGGCGGAGCGACTAATTTACATGTGATATTATCATTGATATGATACTAATACATTTAACAATATATTATAGGCATAGAGTAATAAGATTGGTTTTACATAAACATTATTCTGTTTGTTTACATTCTCAAACAGCGTCTCATATCAAAAGAAAAGGCGAAACCATCTTATGCACCGGCGGCGATAGCATTTGTCAGCATACCGTAGACCCTGCATTACACATAATTGCAGCCTCTCCGAGTCGATCATAAGTAGTCTAAATATTTTGAGGTAGATCGCCAGCATTTCAAGTTTGAGCATCCCTGCCGTAGACTGAGTTAAAATAAGGTATATTTTATTTATTTTATAATTACTCCATCTGCCGATGCGTTAATAAAGGTTACCAATTCCTTTATATTTTGATTAGATCCGCGAATAACGAATTTTTTTGCCGCGAATATGGACGCAAATTTTTAATCCGCGAATAGTGAAAACGCGAATATAGGAAGCGTGAATAAGTTGCTTTTACTGTACTCCCAATCGCCTAACACAAGTGCATCAAAAAACTTAGGAGCGGTGCTGTGTTATACATCTACATGAACTTACGCAGATAACATTAGATACATTTGTTCAAATTTACACATTGTATCGTGGTAGTACGGTTCAATGTCAATTATATACGAGAGAAAGAGACTTTGATTACGGAGCAAAAGAGACATAGACGATCACGTGACGACGAGGCGTACACAGAGAGATATAATTTGTTGTAGCTATTAAAATGTGATGATTTAGCAATACGGTAGAAAACGCCAATATAGTTGTGTTACCTGAATTACACCACTCCAGGTTTTAAGTGTGAATCTGGTGTCATTTGCACCGATTTTAATCGAACACTGTCATTGTGTGGCGTTGTAATCAACGCCTGCATGGTCGAAACACATCTGCATGTCTGCTTAAAAATACGCACAACAGACAAATGTGCGTAATTTTGCTTCCGACACTTTATGAGTGCGAATGTGAGTCTACTAAGGTAAGAGTAATAAGGGGTGGGGTGGCGGTAATGATACAGATGCAACATGCTAGTTTTTTTAATTCTCAATGTTACAGTATCAATGACTACTATATATCCATCAGGCGAGTTTGTGGTCAACCGCCTAGCATATTAAACATTAAAAAAAAACTATTCACGGAATCAAGCCGGCAAAAGCTAGAATTTTCTGGCCGGATTTTATGATAACAACCCTCTCTCATGTATTTTCCTTACCTGTTTATTGTTAGCGATTGAATGATAAAGAAAGTGGTCCACTAACTTGTTCCTTTAAGCAGAGTATGGTTCTGTGTTGTTCAGTAACTAAACTAACCAAAGCTCTATTGATAGTTATAATTTTGAATATATTTTTATTTATTTAGGTCATTTTATATCATCTCAAAGCCTCTAAATGTAGATAAAAAAAAAGGTAATAAATTGGTTAACTTACTGGTGTAATTCGTAAATAGGCGGTAAGTTTCCAAATATATTTTTCAGTTCGGTGTTGTTGAGCAATGCTTGGCTTTTCCCACTGCTGGTGTCCTCTTCTACCATTTCTTCTAAAGGTTGTTTGAACATCTATAAGGGTAAATTTATTAATACAATCTTAATAACAACGAGTTCACCTTGTTTTTTTTCTAAAAATAATTTTAATACCTATCATCTATTCCTTATAAAATTGCTAAGCATATATGCTATAGAAAAAAGCTTGGTCATAAATATTTGTCCCTAGGGAAATTTAAATACATATCTTTGTGTCGAGTAAAGAAATTTTTCGTCACAATAAGGAGGATGACTATCTTTTATTTCTTCGTCTATCAGGTGGATTATCAGAAAGTATTGGACACGGAATTTTTATTTATTCACATGATCATAAAATTAAAGATATTTATTGATTTGAAATACCACGTGACGTCACGTCTTGGTACAATTTTTACTTGGAAGTGGCCAAACTTATACACGCTTTTTTGTCATTTTTTGGTTAATTAACAAAAGAAAAAATAAATGTCCATAATTTTATAAAATCTAATTGACGGACTAAATATAATTTGGTTTAATCTACCCCGTCATTATCCCTTTTACCATTTTATCGTATTTGTGATCATTAATGATTGTAAGTGAATTATATATAAATACACATACCGTAACTATCGTATGTAATATGCTGACATAATTGGACTCTGTTTGCAGGAGCTCCATGAAGACCTGTTGGCGTGGCGACATCAACTTCCGCACAACATTATCCGGTACTTCTGATTCTGCAAATATTAATTTTTAGGTTTACAATCTGACAACGTTCAGTCCATACTCTATATCTATTAATTAATCCAAACTTATGTACGCTTAATGAGTGCGTAAGCACTCAAGATGCGAATAAATCATAAAGGTGTTTCTGTATCTGCATTTTTGAATACTAGCTTACATTGTAAGCGAATACAACTGACTGCCACCACGGCCGCGGCCGGGTCTGTCTGTGAGACTCTTAAAGGACTGTCATCAAACGCATCACATTCTTAACTCACCCTCTAGCAGTTGTTTGCCGTCAGGCGAGGGCGTGCAGTCGAGCAGGTTGCCCGACAGACTCAACAGCACGGCGTCGCTGACGGATGAGCGTCGTTTGTGTAACGCCGCGTCCGCCCCACGCATCAGTTTCCGTTTCCGTAGCCGCTGCAACTGCGCGGGAGTGTTGCCCGCTGTAGAGCCACCCACGCCGCCCGGTGTACCCGAGCATGATTCCTCGCCAGTCGGCCCGCACGCCCCGCCCACGGACGATCGCCGCGACATCTCGCTTAGGTACTAAACATTGACATAAATTAATATTTCTAACACACACCAATTAGCCTAGCCCCAAAGTAAGCACTGTAAAGCTTGTTTTATGGGATACCATGGGAACGGAGAGAATATATAATACTGATACATACATATATAAATATATTTTTAATTAGAAATACATATAAACATCCATGGTTTAGGCACAAATGCTCGTATTCACACAACCATTTGCCCTAATGGGATTCAAATCCGGGACCTCAGAGTAGGCGACACCTTGAAAGCCGGCGTACATGCCACTCGAGCCACGGAGATCGTCAACATAGAACATAAGAGTCAGATGAGAGAAACAAGGCAGTATTCGGAAATATGAAATTCATTTATTGTATTATTGAGTTACTTGACTCATTCTATTATTATCTCAAAGAAAGTGACAGCATCAACTTTATTCAAACTCAAAAGTTTATTGACTTCACTGAGTGTAACCGTAAGCTACACTCTTCAACTCTTTAGAAAGGGAAAAAAATGGAAAAGAGAGTGACTGGAGTAAATGTAAAAAAAGAATCAAAATGCGTCGTCTACTGCTATCTAGCTTGCGCAGAAAGTTAAAATCTATCAAGTCAATGAACGTTTCGAAAACTATCGTCTCGCAAAATGGCACATTGATCATGGGCTACTGAAAGAGTATTCAACAAATTTTACAAATACAGGGTGAAATTGAATGTTTCAATGAAACTTCGTGAGATTGTTGGGTTATGTGTATAGAGTATCCCTGATTTTTTTCGGATTTTTTTATAATTATTTTTTTCGTTTTTTATTTTTTTTAATTGTGCATTTTTGTGTCCTTTCCTCTTTTGAGTAATAATTATTTTTAAACACGTATTCATAGTATGTGAAATATAACAAATAAATAAGCACTACTAAAATAGTGGATGCGGCCAGGCGAGGTCGACGGACGCCGGCCGCCTGTGTAGGTACCTACCGCGCATAGCTGACGCGGCGCGTATCTACTGTACAGTGCAGTAAAATCGTCAAAGGCAATTAATACGGAATAGATCGCTCTCAATTCTGAAACTACTACCTTGAGATACTATGTTCATACAAAACAGCATCTCAAGATCGCTCTCAGAGTTGAGAGCGTTCTATTCATACGGGCCTTAGATGCCATATTACAATAACAGATTTATTTAAATAAAGAACAAGTGTTATCTTCTCATTAGCAGAGAAAAATACCTAAAAAGTTAATAATAATTTATAACTAGGTATTACACAGTACTTACGAGACCGGCGATGTGGGTAGGTACAACGAGGAACGAGGAACATATTCATTTTTTTCACTAGAACTTTTTATCAAATCAATCACACTGGTAGTACACTAATTAGTTGTTTCAAATCAAAAAGTATTTACACTAGCAATAAAAAGAGACTTAAATTATTGCTGTAAACCACCATTTTGCTGCAAACAAAGGTAGGCACGTTTGCGGACGTGTCTTTCCACCTTTTTTAAAGTGTCCCTATCACTACTCACTGCACAAAATGCAACTTCTATGGTTTGGGGACTCATTCATAAACCAAACCTACTTCGTCACACTCACGATAGCAGTACACCATCTCTAAATATTCTTGGTTTGTATACCGAGGCATAATGAAATTATCACAGTGTATGTCACTAAGTCAAAAGATGCGCACGCTCACGCGCGATTGATATTCTTGCGACTGCACTTTGCATGCAATCAAAGCAAACCACCGCACGCGGGGAAGAGGGGAGGTGGGCGGAAATCGGAATTCACATCATCAAAGACGCCGCAAATACTTTTAAAATTGCTAGGCCGGCGCTAGGGCTGCATGTTTCTTGCCAGCGTGCGGCGCGCCGCCCGCCCGTGTTTGCCGCAAAACAACATATTATTATGTGTGTGTGTGTGTGTGTGTGTGACTGTGATTAAATGTGTTCGGAATTTCATGACGTGGGCAAATCAGACACGAAGAGTTCCTTCCTTCACTAAGCTTGTAAGTTATACCGATAAAATTTTAAATAAGCCGTTTGTTCTTAAGTTTTAATTAAACGAAGCAACTAACATTAACAATAAAAAAGAAGTTCTTACACTAACAGACAGGCTTTACCGATTTAAAATCGTGACAGTCATATTAACTTTATAGGATTTTTAATTGCTCTAACAGAAGATTTATTTTATTGATTAATTACCTGTGCTTTATGAAATAATATTCAAAGGTATTGTGTATCAGTGAATAAATAATTATAATATAGCATCTAAGACTATTTTATTGTAATGTTTTTAAATAGTATGGAATCAAATCGGAAAGTAGGTAAGCGCCGAGTCATCTGTGCGTGTAGTAGGTACCTACACAGGCGGCCGCCGCCGGTCATCGCCCTGGCCGGCGATCTCGACTGGAGGCATTCATTAAGTTTTCCTTTTTTTAGGAGTGCTTAATTTAAGTTGTTTTACAACTTCTATGTAGACGTGTTTAAAATGAATAATTACTCATAAGGAAGAAATGACAAAAAAATAACCAAATAAAAAAATAAAAAACGAAAAAAAATATTTAAAAAATCCGAAAAAAAAACAGGCATACTCTATACACATAACCCAACAATCTCACGAAGTTTCATAGAAACATTCAATTTCACCCTATATATGTAGTAATTAAACAAAATAATTGATTTTACAGGAATTAAATAAAGCACAGGTTACTTACATCTTTGTACAAAAAGTCCTTCTCATCTTGCGCCTCTTCGTTTTGCACCGAGGCCCAGAACCACTCTGCCTTGACAATGTGCGCGCGTGCATTGCAGTCAGGCGCGAGCGCCGTGTTGTGTTCGTCCACCACCTGTACCATATCAAGGAACAATTCAAATAGAAAATCACACCATCAACGCTTCTTAGTACTGTCTGGGAGCATTTGTTTGTAACATGACACCTCAGATAAAGCAGCTAAATCACAACAGCTTAGTCTAGCTATTATGATGGTTAAGTGATAGCGAAGAGAAAATTAAGGCTCAAGACAGTATATAGAATGTCGTTATGAATTTCCTGTGACTAATGGCAGGTGCGTGTAATATTATTCGATAATGTTTAACTTGAGAATGGAATTTCAATTGTCACATCAAAGCATATACTCCCGTCCAGAGCCTATTTTAGAACCACCACCAACATAGTGTTTTTGCCGCTCAGCATTCCTCGGCGCAAATATTGATAGATAGTTATAGCGCACCCAAAGTGCACGCCCTACTACTAAGCGCCTACCGATACACGGTGACGTCACCATTCACAGGCATGCACACCGACGCTGAGTTTCTAAACTGACCCTATCTGGTTATGAAAGACGGCTGCTATGTTCGATAAGCTTAATCTAGAATTTAGTACTGAATTAAATGGTGTTAGTACCGGCAGCGATATTCCATGGCATTGCGATATGGCGCGAGCGTCGCGGGTGAGGAGCGTCGAGGCGGGCGGCGGCTGGTCGCGCGGGGAGGGAGGGGGAGGGGGAGATCGAACTTCTGCGCATATCGAGTGACGGTGGGCTCTCAGCCAGACGCTCTGTGGCGTTTTAAACACTGCAGACTCGTCCAACTCATCAACATCCGGCCTCACGGACGTAATCATATTATCCGTGCTATCCACCGTGTCCACTTGCACTGGCGAAATATCCAGGTTCATGTCGTCCAAATTCCGCTTTGGCGTCGACACGTTCCTCAAATCAGCGGGCAGGTGGCAAGCGTCCACTTCCACAGTGTTCCGTTCCGCTCTCTTCTCGTATTTCTTCTTTCTCTCGCTCCTGAAAGAAGCGGTGAACGATTTCACACTCCTCCTTAGTTTGGATGCCGATTTCACAGTTTTCGAGCTACGTATCGATGCGAAGGATATGTCAAAAAATCCCGACTGTTTACTAGTGTTCACTGAGCAAATGGATGCGTTGTCGTCTTCTCTGATGGGCGAGGATGTAGATGCTACAAATTCACCTGCGGGATCAGTCGGCTTCAAGCTCTCTGGACTGACCGGCTCCACTGTTATTTCACCTGCCTTGGAGACGGAATCCTTTTTTGTTCTCTTAAATATCGTTGGTCTATTTTTAAACTTAAATGAATCTTTTATTTTTAGCCTTTTTATCGATTTCCAGTTACTTTCCTCACCTTTATCTGGGGAAAGATTAGCATCGACGACGCTTATTTGGAAATTAGAGTCGGTCGAATTGCGACTTCTCTTTTTCCCGGATGATATAGTAGTGGTAGAATGCTGTAGTTCGGTACTGGCCGTTGATGTAGGCAGCAGCAAGGAGCCTGGCTCATCTTTGGCGTCCAAATCACATAGACTCTTGGTAAGCGATGAATGAAGTGACCCGGCCTCCGTTAAACAGTCTACCAAGTTGAACATGTTCAATGATTTATTCCTAAAAACTTCTCGTTTATCCTTAACGTTCATTCCTACAATGTCATTTGCTAATTGAGATATGCGTTTGTTCTCTTTGCCAGAAGATTTATAGCTGCGTAATTCGACATGATCAACATGTGACGGACTCTTACTGCCATTAGGGCTTAAATCATCAATGAATGATGTTCCTATAAAACTAATACTGTTATCGGTATGTTCTACACCTGCTAACTGCTTATCTCTAATACTGTTTCTGGCGAGTTGTATTCTTTTATCCCTTTGGTCTTTACTTTGTTCTTCGACGTCGGTGCTTTGTACATTAGGACTATTGCGCCGGCCTGAAAGCCTAGCCGAGAGCCTGCGATAAAGAGAACTCTTGGGAGTGGACTGGGAGCGATTCGGGGTGGCTCTGGAGAGTTTTGTCGAGGTGTTAGGGGTTTTCGGGTGAGGTGACAGGATAAGCGAACGACCGTAAGTCTCCCCATTGGCCATTACCTGAAACATGTGTGAAACACACCACGCAATGATGTAATGAAGCCATTCCGATACAAACATGCACGACGATCATATTTTTTGTAACGTAGGCGGTTAAACACAGAGAAGCAATAGACTATAGCATAGATTTCTTTTGTCAGTATTTTGATTTGTCAGCTGGTTTAAATTTACGAGTAAAATTGTGATTAGAACATTTCTTCAAATAAGTAGGTACATAAGGAATAAGAACAGTTAACACAAAAGAATGTTTAGGTAATATACAGTTTTGTGAACAACAGACATAAGCATAACTAACACTACAACATAATAATGATCTACCGACATGAACAAATGTCATGTTCACGCAAGCCATATGAGATAGGTGCGGTATTGCGGAACTGCGTGATATAATATGCAATAAAAATGTGAAAACATCATACATTGGTGATATAGAGACATTACAAAAGAATTGAAGACAAAAAAAACAATGGGTCGACTTCGCGTCCTGTGGAGCGGGACATGATAGGATGTGGTGGCAAAAAAGGGCCTTCGTTAAATAAAATACGCAATTTGTGAACTAAGTACTACGATATGAAAAATCTACAAATAAGAAAAATATGCCGCCAAGTATCAGTATGTGGCAATGATTTTAAGGAAACATTAACATCGCAATGTATACTTATGTAACCGCTATTGTGCCACTGGCATTGAGCCGCAACAAAACCAGTCATAGACTTATAGTTAAGTAAAGTGTGAAACAACTTTTGACTTTGAAAGAAACCAATAAGTGAATGCAAACATTGGAAGAAGACAGGTGTGATAAAAAAATCGTCGCAACCATAATATCCGGCTACTAGCTAAATCATGTCTACAATGTAACTGAGCTAAGAGTGATATGTGTTCCCAAGGTGCTACGAGCATGCTGACTTTATAAGGCTAAAATTTTTGACTAATGTGGGCATAAAGAGTATAAATAAACAGGGGGTCAATCGCCTAACGGAAATGCTTTGGGAAACGCTAACGCTTACGATTTTATATTGTTATTTCTAGACGCCTGAGGTTTTCGAATACCTCACGCTCATTTTTTTTAATATTGTTATTACCAATGCAAAAGAAAAAGAAAGAGCGCGAGGCATTTGAATACCTCAGGCGGCTAGAAATAACAAAATAAAATCGTAAGCGTTAGCGTTTTCCAAAGCATTTCCGTTAGGCGATTGGCCCCCTGGTGGAAGAAGTAATGTGAATGTTCTGCAATGAGGGTGGGATGATTTATGAAAATTTACGTCGACAGTTGGCGCCACTGTGGCATGAGGTCTTTTGTATGAAGTTTTTGGAACGAGCATTTAAATTGATCCTTAGACCATGACGACATACGAGATTTGACGGATCTGTAGACCATTCACCCCCGTGCTGCCAACTGGCACCGTCATTTCAGAGAACCCTCATGAAGACTGTCTGATTGTCTTTTGTTTTTGTTGGTGACGATTTATAGGTAGGTATTTACAAGTTGAAATGTAACTGAAGATTGACCGGTTGTCTTTTGTTTTTTTTCTGATATCTGTTCGGTGACGATTAGAGGTTGTATGTAACTGCAAATTACTTACGACATGCGTGCAGTCGAGGTCGTCGACCTGGCACGCGGAGCCGCCGTTGCTGGCGAGCACCTCGGCCATGTGCTGCGTCTCATCCGCAGGGAAGCCGACGAAGCACACGCGCGCACCCGCGAACACTTTCAACTTGTGCCCCTTCTGTAAAAGATATTTTAACCTACTTACTATGATTTTCGAGTCTAAATCTCAAATTATTTAATACCAGATTAAGCCCATACAATAATGTCAAATTGACGTTGACGATCTGACATTTTTCTATGGGATAGATCTAGTTTAGTTGAATGGAGATATAGCAAATTTGTTGCAAGTGGGCCTAAGCTGATAATTAAAATACATATTAAATGTCATAGTAATTTCGGAGAGAAAACATTCGCACAACGTAACTTTTTTAATTATCTAACGGGAAGTCGGAAAGAATATTCGAGATATAAGACAAAATATATTCTTGTTATTAAAAAGGCCGCATTTTACTTGACTATTCATGTTATTTGTGAGTTTGACAGCAGTCTTTCTTTTTCGTTTTTGTGGCATGGTAGCGCAGTAACCACGACCGGTTTAACACGGGTAGCGCGAACGTTGTCGCGTACCCATACTTCTCACTACTCCTATAATATAATAGTATACACACTCACGATGACGACATCATTGGTGGCGAGGCAGGCGGGGTCGTTGCGGCGCTACCAGCACGCGTGCACCCACAATCGGTCTAGCACGGGCAGCGCGAATGTCGTCGCATACCGGCACTTGTCACTGCTCTCCTATGATATGATAGAATACACTCACGATGACGTCATCATTTGTGGCGAGGCAGGCGGGGTCATTGCGGCGCTTCCAGCACGCGTGCACCCACGACCGGTCGAGCACCGGCAGCGCGAACGTCGTCGCATACCGGCACTTGTCACTTCTCTCCTATGATATGATAGTACACATTCACGATGACGTCATCATTGGTGGCGAAGCAGGCGGGGTCATCGCGGCGCTCCCAGCACGCGTGCACCCACGAACGGTCTAGCACGGGTAGCGCGAACGCCGTCGCATACCGGCACTTGTCACTTCTCTCCTATGATATGATAATATACACTCACGATGACGTCATCATTGGTGGCGAGGCAGGCGGGGTCATCGCGGCGCTCCCAGCACGCGTGCACCCACGAACGGTCTAGCACGGGCAGCGCGAACATCGTCGCGTACCGGTACTTCTCACCGGTGGCTGCGGCCGCAATCAGATGCGTCACTTTGCTGGACATGTCCTTTCGTATCGAGCCGCCCATGTAGTGTATTAGCGTTATCAGGTACGTCTACAAACACACACACACATATATATATAAATATTTCTAATACTCATACCACTATGAACAGAAATGCGCGTCCGCCACAAGTAACACACTCACCAATAGTTAGCAGATAGAAATACATAATAATGATGCCTTAACTAGTATATTTTTATTTCAATATACATAAATAGCCATGAATTAGTACAAATTTCGTATTTGTTATCCAAACATTTGACCCACCAGTATTCGAAACCAGAGCCTCTTAGTAACTTAATCAGCTATTATTTTGAGACTATGTGAACGAAGATTGACAAAAGAGACAAATTTTATTTAGCAATAATAATGATGACGGTAAAAGAGTTTCTAATGTTATGAACATCATATTTATGCAAGCAATGAAGAGTTTCAGTAATAAATTCATGAAATTTTCAAATTGGATCTGAATAAAGTTGTCACTAACAAGCTCTTCCTTGTCGCAGAAGCCGAAGAAACATTATGACGGCGCCCGCGCCGCATGGTGACCTAGTATATCCCGATTGCGCATGTTCGTGGGCGGAGGGTAAAAGAGAGTCTAATGTTTTGAATGTCATAATTCATATTCTTTATTGCATGCCACGAGGAGCTCGATGGCGCAAGTGGTTAGCGCGTTCGGCTGCGATCGTTGAATTTAAGCAACTTTCGCAGTGGTCGGTCATTGGATGGGTGACCAAAAATTACTATCTCGAGCTCCTCCGTGCTTCGGAAGGCACGTTAAGCCGTTGGTCCCGGCTGCATCTGCAGTCGTTAGCACCCACCAATCCGCACTGGGCCCGCGTGGTGGGTCATGGCCCAATCTCTCTATTCCATCCATAGGGAAGGCCTGTGCCCCAGCAGTGGGGACATTAATAGGCTGATGATGATGATGATTGCATGCCACAGATAGTCCTACTTAACATGAAAATGTTCATAAAATCTAATGAAACTTTAAAATTTAATCTTTATGAAGATTTTATTAAAAAGCTCTCTCTTGTCCCGAAAGCCGGTGTAACATGACGGCGCCGCGCATGGCGAGCGAATACAGGAGGCGCGTGTTTGTGGGCAAAGGATAAAGAGATTCCAATGTTTTGAATGTCCTTATTATGTTTTATATTATGTACTTATTATGATAATTTTAGTAAAAATCTGATTTAACTTTAAAAGGACAATAGGCAAAACACTCAGCTCCGCCAACGATGTAATTATATAGTATGAATCGAAATGACACCGCAATAAAATATCCTGGTAATCGAAAGATATGACACATGGGCATATTTAAGTACCTTAATAAACTCTTTTAGGTACTTTCATTTTATAATATTAGGAACCATAATAATGTGCCGTACCGTACTATACAAATAGATATACGACAATCCTGTGTTTGCACTAACTGAGACAATCCAAACGGTTTACGGGGTTGAAGGACTTGCTGTTGCAACTAGTCGACTCATAATTATGCAGTCCTTCGTCTTACTTCGTTGTGATTGTGCGCTCCCTGTCACTTGATTGATTTAATCAAGTGACAGGGAGCGCACAATTTAACTAACACGCTTTGGATATTGGAACAAGATTATCGGTTTTGTGAATTAATATGAACTGGAATCATATTTTCTCCGAGGCGTGGACAAGTTTGTGTGATTAGTGGTCGCTCCGTTTTAAGTTTTTTTTTTTAATTTACTATAACGAACTGAATGTTTGAAAAACACCAAGGCCAAGCAGGGATTTTTGGATTTACTCTAGCACAGCAGAATAACACCTTGCACCATGTGAAGTACTCCCATAATACCGGAGTCCTCTATGTAGGGCCGAACTAACTAAATTAATTCCCTTGTTTCATTAATGTTCGATCGTTTATAGTACTTGTACCTATTTAACTTAAAGTAATAAAGACCCCCGGGATAGAATTTGATGCGCTTGGGCACAGACGATCATGACTATAATACCTTTCAAACAATTGTTGTTTAAGCCGTGGCGGACGTAAGTGCAGCATCCATACATTTTTGACCACTGTTCTTTAATCTAAATAAAGTTGTTACTAATAAGCTCTTCCTTGTCCCGGAAGCGGGGGAAACATATGACGGCGCCATGTATGGCGAGCTAGTACCGGGGGCGCGTGTTCGTGGGCGAATGGTAAAAGAGATTCTAATATTTTGAAAATCCTACTTATAATGAAAATGTTCAAAAATATATACTAACAAGCTCTTCCTTGTCCCGGAAGCCGGAGAAACATATGACGGCGCCGCGCATGGCTAGGGAGTACAAGGGGCGCGTGTTCGTGGGAGCGGGCTCGTCGCGGTCTGCCAGCTGCAGCACCGCCGTCGGCCCGAGCACCCTGAAAAAAAAAACAAAAATGTCACCCCAGTGCATTCTCATAAATAAATAACTTATTAATTATTATAAATTAATAAATAGTGGACAGCGAAAAATGCAGGTTCGAGTCCTACCTGAAACCTTGACAGAGCTGAATTTATTCTAGAAAAAGGAAATATTTAGATTTATGCTTAAATAATATAATACACTAGCGGCCCGCCCTCGCTTCGCTTCGGTGTAGAGCTGAAGTGTAGACTTCAGTTTTTGTTCTCAGGTTTGTATTATACACAATGACATTCATCTATGATTCTTCTTATACCTTCATGCAAAGTCTCAGCCCAATCGGTTTAAAACTGACAAAGTTTCATACAAACTTTCATACAAACTTTCATTCCCTATTTAATCCCCTTGGGGCCCGCCCTCGCTTCGCTTCGGTGTAGAGCTGAAGTGTAGACTACAGTTTTTGTTCTCAGGCTTGACATTCATCTATGATTCTTCTTATACCGGCATGCAAAGTCTCAGCCCGATCGGTTTAAAATTGACAAAGTTTCATACAAACTTTCATTCCCTATTTTTTCTCCTTGGGGGTAGAATTGATCAAAATCCTTTCTTAGCGGATGCCTACGTCATAACATCTACCTGCATGCCAAATTTCAGCCCGATCCGTCCAGTGGTTTGGGCTGTGCGTTGATAGATCACTATGTCAGTCAGTCACCTTTGAGTTTTATATACAGTGTGTCTGGGAATGACTTAGCGATAATTTAAGGGCATCAAATATACTTAATTTTATCGACAAAAATACCCATATTGGGGGTCTACCCCCCTCTGTTTGGAATGGCCACCATTTGAAATTTATTTTTTTATTTTAGATAACCCCCCAAAAAAATATTGATTTCTCTGGACATAAAGGTCCTACAGATATGAAATAAATGTTGTTTGAAAGATAATACTATCACCTTTTAATTAAAATAGAACAATGTGAAAACATTTAACTATAAAATGTCATATTTTTCTTTTTTATGCAAATTTAAGTAAAAAAAATTACGGTTTTTTTTTAGTTAATCAAATATACTACAAAAACTAGCACATTGCAGTATGTTTTTTTTTCAATACACTCATACACAAGGATATTCGCTACAAAATGACACTAACATCATTTCTCTAAGTTACATAATTTGAGAGTTATTGCTGTTCGAATATGACCCTTATGAAAATGAATAAAATTAAATTAAAACTCAGTACTGTACTACTGATAACTTTTAATGATAAAATCAACAAAAATAGTCACAGAAATTGTTCAAAATGACCGCCTCTGCTTTGTAGACAGGCAGTGGCCCCTATGACTTGTCTTGTGGCCCTGGAGATCATTGCAGTGTCTGCTCTTATTTCATTTGCAACTGTCATAATTTTTTGCACCAGTTCTTCTCTGCTGTTTGGGACTGTGGCATATACTCTTTGCTTCATCCATCCCCATAAAAAATAGTCCAGCGGTGTTAAGTCCGGGAAGCGGGGTGGAAAAGCTACTGTTCTGCCACGGCCAATCCACGGTGAATAATTTTCATTTAAGTGATCTCTCACTGCGCGAGCGTAGTGCGCTGGTTAAACAACTGAAGCCACATACGCCTTTGATTAATAATTGGTCTTCTATTACTCTACGAAATTAGTTCTCAAGAAATTCTAAAAATCTTGCGCCATTCATATTGTTTGGTAGTTCGATCGGTCCAATCAATTTGTCATCGATCACGGCTGCCCACACATTCACGGAAAATTCATGTTGAAATTTGCTGGGTCTTACTGCATCCCCGGACTTAACACCGCTAGACTATTTTAATGGGGATGGATGAAGCAAAGAGTATATGCCACAGTCCCAAACAGCAGAGAAGAACTGGTGCAAAAAATTATGTCAGTTTGCAAATGAAATAAGAGCAGACACGGCAATGATCTCCAGGGCCACAAGACAAGCCGCCATAAGGGCCACTGCCTGACTACAAAGCAGAGGCGGTCATTTTGAACAATTTCTGTGACTATTTTTGTTGATTTTATCATTAAAAGTCATCAGTAGTACAGTACTGAGTTTTAATTTTATTTTATTCATTTTCATAAGGGTCATGTTCAAACAGCAATAACTCTCAAATTATGTAACTTAGAGAAACGATGTTAGTGTGATTTTGTAGCTAATATCCTTGTGTATGAGTGTATTGAAAAAAAATCATACTGCAATGTACTAGTTTTTGTAGTATTGTTGATTAACTAAAAAAACCGTAAATTTTTTGACTTAAATTTGCATAAAAAAGAAAAGTATGACATTTTATAGTTAAATGTTTTCATATTGTTCTATTTTAATTAAAAGGTGATAATATTATCTTTCAAACAACATTTATTTCATATCTGTAGGACCTTTATGTCCAGAGAAATCAATATTTTTTTGGGGGGTTATCTAAAATAAAAAAATAAATTTCAAGTGTCGGTCATTCCAAAAAGAGGGGGGGTAGACCCCCAATATGGGTATTTTTGTCGATAAAATTAAGTATATTTGATGCCCTTAAATTATCGCTAAGTCATTCCCAAATACACTGTATAGAGATAGATAACTTGTCTCGATAGGTTGGCATCCAACCGGCAACAACAGTAGTAAGTTGAGAAGAACTTCAAATTCATTCAATGTTATAGGTCTTTGAAATTGCCGTTCAGCCGTATTGGATATTTCAAATCCATTTTTTTTTCTTTTGACGTGACAACATCTTAAAAATCGATGGAGCCGGCTGCACGCACTAAAAAACATGACTCAAGCGGCGTTACCTCGCTCTGAGGCGTTCCATTTAAGGCTTGAAGTGCAAGCGAAAGCGCGCAACGAGCGATAAAGAAGCACAATCGGCCTCCGCGTTCGGCAGCGTTCGACATCTGTCTCTCTCTTACTTGAGTGAGCGATGCGTCTGCGTGGACAGCTGCTATACAATAATACATTTACATGTTTTCGTCAAATATGAAGTGCAGTGAAAAGTGAATGTGGTGTCAATTGTTTATAGCAACGATAATTGCGGCGATAAAGGTAATGATTCTTTCGATATTAAATATCTGTTCAGTGATATATTGTCGAATATTCGTGCATTCATCATTAAAATAAATAGCATCGGTCCGCTAGTGCAGCGATTGTCTGTTATGCTATAATTGATAAAACTATAACAATAAATTAACAGAACTATTTCACGATGAGTAAAAAATCAATTGCTTTACTATTCGATCGAAACAATTATCGAGCGTAGCTATGATTTAAAAAAATTCAAACATAAATGTTAAATCCTCCACAAATCCATATATAATAACAACGTGTCTGAAATGACAGGTTGGACCAGCCAGCCGTCAAAGGAACAATTTTCTCCTAGATATCAAACACATTGAGGCGGGCTTTTTAAAAGCTAGAGTTACAAAAATTTTAATGATGTTTCCAAATTTTTAATTTAAGATTTATAAACAATAATTTAATCACAGTTTATTCTTATAATAAATTATTTAAAATTATTACTTTTTTACAACAAATTACAATTAAATTTGCAAAAATAATTAAGTAACTAATTGAACAACAACTTTTATTCAGTCTACTTGCTGAAAGAAATAAATTGCTCAAAGCACATTCATACTTGTAAAAACCATGTACATTGTAAAAAAAAAAGTTATCACGTTCAACTATCTATCAGTAAGCCGACTTTACAGACAACCGATTTTTTCACTAATAATTCGAAGTTCAAATTATTGTTATTTTAAAGGATATTTTTTTTTGAAAATTAGTCATTTGTTTAGTGGTTAGCGTTCTGTTCAGCGCAATTGTACGTTTTTCGTCATCATGGATACGTTAAAAATTGGAGTGATTATAAAGTACGAGTACCGTCTTGGCAGCAAAGCGTCAAAAGCGGCACGCAACATCAACGACTTATACGGAGCGAACACTTATAACGATCGTATCACCAGCTATTGGTTTGCTCGCTTCTGTTCAGGAAATTTCGACCTTAGAAATGAACCCGTGGTGGCCGTGATCGACCTAAAACTTTAGTTGACAATGACGAATTAAAGGCGATTGTGGAAGCTAATGATTCTCAATCTACAGCTGAATTAGCAGCAGTTTTTGATGTTAGCATCAAAACAATATTGGTCCGTTTGCGTCGAATTGGCAAGGTAAAAAGCTTGACAAATGGGAGCCCCACCAATTGAATGATCGCCAGCGCGAAGTACGCGTCGAGTCGAGGAGCCTTGCACTGCTCTACAGGCACACAAACGAAGGCATATTGAATCGCATTCTTACTTGCGGCGAAAAATTGAGTCTGTTCGACAATCGCAAGCGCTCAGCAAGTTGGTTAGATCCTGGTTCAGCACCTTAACAATGCCCCTAACAAAAACTAACCCCTAAAAAGTGATGGTCACACTAGCGCCGGTGCCATTCATCACAGCTTCTTACCATCTCTCCCTTCTACCTCCATTACTGTAGATGTGTACTGTGAATAACTAAACATAATGATGGAGAAGCTATCGTTCGGATCCGCTGCTTCTGCACAAAAACGCGCGGCCTCACACTGCACAGCAAACGGTCTCCAAGTTACAAGAGCTGGGGTTGGAATTTCTCCGTCATCCTCCATATTCACCAGAACTTGCCCCTACAGACTTCTACTTTTCCAAAATTTGGATAGGCACTGAGAGGCAGTTCGAAATGCCTTTGAAAAATATGTTGCCTCCCATCCAGCAGACTTTTTGAAAAAGGCATCATCAATACTTCGTTGAAATAAATTCATTGGTTGCATGGGTAACCTTTATTAATAAAAATAAAAAATATATAAAAAAGGGCGTTAACTTATTTCATGAGAAATGGCAATTTCATAGGTATAGACCTAATATCTAAAGAGAGTTGTCACTGGAAAGAAAAATAACTCGATATTGATCTTTGATACATTTCATCGCATTACAGGTTGCCTCCCATCCAGCAGACTTTTTGAAAAAGGCATCAATACTTCGTTGAAATAAATTCATTGGTTG